TGTTAACCTTGGTATTAATGTTGGTAATTATAGATTGCGGCTATTATTACTTATGTTTCTTATTTAAATTGTTGGTTTTTATATTTAATTTGTAGCAACCGTCATTTTACAGCACTGCACTCTATATTGTCATACTATGTACATTATTTGGTTGCTATAATAAATGACTGGAGGGGACAAAAATACAATAAATAAAAAAATTTAAATTATGTTGTAGGCCAACAAACTGTCATACAGCAGTGTTTCAGGTGTTTTATCACCGTTTTGTGTAATAATTTACTGTAAGAGGCATTAAACATTCTTACAGAACAAAAATAAGTTTTCCAGAAGTTTGGTCGGTTTTCCAAAAGATGAGTGAAAAATCAAGCTTCCTCAGTTTTCCTCTTATGCCAGATATAGTCAGCCAAAACATGTTCAGTGTCTTAAGTTTGCTTCTTTATTTTATCACTGGAGCTACAAGGTTAATGTAGCTAACAAGTAGTGGAAGTCTATAGGACACCAACTAGCATCATGCAAACTCCAAAGACAGAAATATTCTTTATGCCTGAATTTTGTTTGTATTTCTGTCTGTTTGCCGTGTGTCATACAGGGTCAGAAACCACACGGAAGCTTATACCCCACCAATCAGAATCATACAACTGCGTGCAGAAATCATCACACCTGTGACTCAAGCTATTATACTGACTAAAAATGGACAAATGCTAAAACAACAGTAGTGGCCATCATGTCTGAATTCTGCCTGAACTTTTGTCCACCGACTACAGAAAAAATATTCAGAACATCAAACTTACTTTGGCTGAATTACATTTGGGCTAAAGGGGAAAACTATATATCAAACTACCACCTTAAGGTCTCTGAAGTATAACAGTCTGAACTGCTTCTACGAATACAAATCATCTTTTACAACAACTGATAAATACCTGTATGAACAGCGTACGCTCCCCTCAGAAGGGGTTATGCCATGATCTAAAAGCTTAATTATTCATAAAGAGTTCAGCCTTTACAGTGTAGAGTGGATCCCTCTGCTGGTCACCAGCTGAATAGAGCAGTGCTCTAATGTATGATGGCCCAGTTTAACAGAAGCATGTTAGTGTTAAGATCATCTTAACTGGTACAGAGAGAGAGAGTGTTCAGCGTGATGCTCGCTTGCTCGATCTTTGTGCTGAGATGCTTTTGGGAAACGCATTAAAAAGTCATGCCTGAGACCAGATAAGGATATTTTAAAATATAACAAACAAACAAATAAATAAAAAATGAGATTTGTTTGTAGTTAATTTTACACTCATTTTACACAAAAGATATCAATGCGTTATCATGTCTAAATCCAATTCACTTTTTAATTGTGTAGAGAGAGGACTGATTTGTTTTGTTTCAATGTGTTGATGGTGTTCAACAAAAAGAGTAAAGACAAACAAGCAAACAAAAAACAAATACATAAAAATTCAGTTAGTAAGTACTCCTTATTCTGAGACCAGACAAGCCTGAGACTTTTAATTTATGGTGTTGAGACTGGACTCAAGTGCTGCAATACTTGTGGCGACAGTCAGAAACAGCTTCATGCGGCAAGAGAGACAACAGCGCAAGTGTCAATCTCACCTGAAGGAGAAGAAAAGCACTCAGAAAACACCTGTGGCTTTAAACATATGCTTCTGACACGTTTCCTCTGCTTGTTTGCTTTGGACACATGACCTTTCACATGTTTCAAAAGAGGCTTTGTTTCAGCTTCGAAGTGTTTCTTTCTAAACATATAATCGTTGTCAGAACGGAGTCTCCTAACTTTACAGCAGAAGGAAGAAACATTCTTAACTTGTAATGGAAGCTGATGTAGAAAGATCTTTGCTCAAGTAAGTTTGGACTATCTTTTTGGCCTCTTCATTATGAAATTTTAACACAGTGAAAAGACACTACAGCTGTCCAATTATGCAAAAAAATATGTGAAACTGACAAAAATACAGACGATTTTGTGCAACAGCAATGATATAGTCTTCTTCATGCAGAAAACAGCCATTTCTTCTCTAACAGATGCACAATGAACACACAACATGGACTTGGTGGGGTTTATTGTGTAACTTTGCCAACATTTGATCTATAGTGAGCACGCTATGAAAAAGGAAGAGTAAAAAAACACAGTTAACTATTCTGGCCTATTCTCTGCTGGATCAGTTTACAGCTATCTTAATGCAGAAATAATCTACTACAGAGAAATCTTTGGTGATTAAAAATGCCCATTTTCAACACAGTATACCAAATAAGTGTGTTGAATAGTAACGGTTGAAATAATGCCACATACTTGAGAATGAATTCCAGCTCATATATGTAAAGCTTTCAGGTCCAAAAGTTGGTATTTTTTATTGTTCCCTTCACTGTTAAAAAAAAAAATAAAAATAAAAGACCCCTTTTTTTTAAACATCTCATCACTTAATGGACACATTGCTCAATAAATAAAGAAAGTAAGAAATAGATAAATCAGTAAAACCCTGTAGCATGATGTGCTGTCACACATGACCTCATTTTCATATTTTATAAAACACAGTCAATGTGAAATGGCAAATGCATTTTTCTTAGTATTTCTCACTGAAACTTGGTATGAGGGAGGGTCCCTGAGCTAGCTGAGATGATAGGTGGGGTGGTGGAGGAGGAAAGTAAAACATGATATTACTGGTTAATATTATTTTTCCTACCTACCGGTGCATGATGATGTAATAAAAAAAAAATCACTGCATTTTGCTGGAAGTTCTGATAGAGTGTCTATGTAAACCCAACAGTTTACGTTACGCAGTGTGTATATTTATTTGAGTATATATTCATTTTTTTGGGCCAGTTTCTCTGACCCAGTTTAAGTCTAAACTCAATAGGATTTTATGACAAATCACTACTGACATTACAGTTTAGTTAAAAACTAGCCAGAATCCATGTCCAGCAAACCAGTCCAAATAGTTTAGGTTATATATTAAAATGTGTTAATATATTCCAAACTGTAAATAGAATATGTTGGGATATCTAATAAATCACATTTGTGTGGGTAAATTGCAAAACATACAAACTAACAAGTGTTTTCTTATTTTCTTCTCATAAGATTTAAATAATAAAACAACATATTAAACTGGTCATACAGCAGAGGGCCAACACATACACTGAAACCTCCAGTAACTTCAATTTAATTTCAGTTTACTCAGAATAGTTTTATTTATTGAAATGTCTCTCTTATCACTCTGCTTTCCATAACAAACTAAAAGCTTTTCTTTTAAATCATCATCTTCAAACAGTGTTTAAGAATAAACGCATGAATTCACTGAGTATTCACTGCCTTCCTGAGTCTTCTCTTACATCTCTTGAGTCTTACTACATCTATGGGATGCGGAGGGAGCCGCCTCCTCAGAGAAGTCTTAATATCTTCTGAGACGTTGGGCTGGAGAAGCTCCACTCTGCTTCAGTAAAAAGGCGCGTGGGAAGCCAGAACAATGCCAGGCTTCACTCCTGGCCACGGGATTTCATTTTAGCCCGAACCTCCTGCAGAACAAGACAAGGGTTAATGTCACATGAGGACGGGGTTGAAGGTTAAGAAGTCATGGGCTGAGAACAGTCAACTTAAAGCCTGTTATGTAACTCAACACGAGGAAACTGCCTGATACATGCCTGGAAATCAGGGCCAGAGTTAAGAGGGCTGATCTCAGATCAGATTCCTCTGGATTTGTGGCGGTTATGTTCACAAATACTGATTCTAGATCAGAGATTCTAGTCCGACTTAGTAGGACGAAGTCAGAGAACAGATCTTCCATTATAACAATGAAAAAAACATAAAATGCAATATACAAACAGCATTAATTATTATTAGTAACGTGGAAAATGTGCTAAATTGAAAAGCAAACCCTTTTTAACACTGATTTGATGTATTTCTTTCAGTATTTGAGCTAGTCGATGTCATCGAAGGGAGTCGTAGGGAAAGCACGTGCTAGCTTTCACCCTCTTAGCCTGGTGGGATCATGTGATTGGGGGGATCTAGGTAGTGGGTGGGAACTGGACATGACTAAATTGTGGACACAACTGCATAAAAAAGTGAATGTATTTCGGAAGTTATAACATTGAACACAGCTACTCAGTGGTGCATACTGCGGGGGGGGCGAGCTAATGTGAGAAGGCTAAAGCTTATGTACAGAAATTTAAATGTTCAAAAGTGTCATTAGTGTTAACAGAATTAAGATCATACAAAATTCAGTAATGAGATTTAATATCTTTCCACTGTACCACTAAAATTTTTAGCATGATCTGCATATTGCAAAAAATTGAGCAAAATAAGCCAATAATGATGAATGTGATGATAACTTTGAAGAAAAAGGAAGGACCATTAATAACTGGCAAACTGGCATAAATCAATAAACAATCTATAAACAAGACTATAAACAAAACAGCAATCTATTCTGGCTTTAAATACTTTCTACTATTTACATGCAAACCCCCAAATATCTTGCATAATTTTAAAAAGTGGAGAGGACATGCCCCCCCATCCCCCCTGAATCTGCACAAGGGCACTGAACTCACAAAAAATCATTTAGTCTATGTAAAATATATATGCTAACCTACATATTCTTTGCATGCACCTTGCACTCTAATTGGGAAGGCACTGCCCTGTAAGGCCCACCCTCAGCGTTGAGCCTGCAGACTACCATTGCACATTTGTAATTCAAAGCTCAAAAGCCATTAAAAGTGTCTTGCCCAACAGCAGTAGATACAGCATTTGACAGTCTGAGCGCCAAACGTGTTCAGTGATTAAATGAGGAATAATCAATAGCTTTGTGCAAAGGTCAGGAGCTGAGCATATCAGAGAGATTAAGAACTGAATTGACAGAAATAGGTTACAAAGGTAGAAATAGGTTACAATATTACGAAAAGTTCAGTGCAGAGAAGTGAAGATCCACATAGGAAAATTATTTCTGATGTCAGTTTGAATCAGATTGTGCTCTAGTTTCACACTGAATGTCAATGTGGTCCTGTCTAGAATTGAAACTTACTTTTTTGTTACCATGGAAGACGGAGGCTAAGTCTATTTCTTCTTTCCTCCTAATGACATGCTCTCCGTTTTCTTCTTCTGGGCCTGGAGACAACGTACAAAGTTAGCCAGCGCTGCTAAAGAGATTAATCCTGGTGCAGATATACAGACTTAATAACTTCCTTGTATTTAATGTATTCTAATGTTTATTATTATTTCTAGAACAGTTCTGTTGGCACAGTCTGACTGTGTTGTTATATATGAATTCTTTATCGCCAAATGCATCTGTGCAAAGCATGCTGGGTATTGTAGTGCGAGAGCACTGATAGACAAAAATACAAAAAAGATACAACTTTATGAATTCTGTCCCAACAGTGAGACTAAGAAATGCAATGCTGCACTACAGAACACAGAAGAAACATATTAAATGCTAATTTTAGCCCCCGAATGTCTGCATCTGTGAGTTGGAGTAAAAATATACTGACACCTCTGACAAGGCATCATCTATCTGCTTCAGTTCTTCGTAGTGGTCCCGAGAATCTCGCAATGGCTGCACCATGATCTCCTCAATCTGAGGGAAGAGCTACACAATAACACAGTAATTTTAACATGATTGATAAAGATCAACATTCAACATTAGACATCAGTTTTGCTATCATGCTAAAATAATGCTCTTTATGGTAAAATGTTGGTTTACAGAGCTCATATTCTACACAAGACATTTGTGTAGTTTTACATACCAAAAATGTCATAATTCATTTTTACACAACCATTTCCCCACCTCCCTTAGAGTGTTGTTTTTGTTACTATGCCTTTAAGACTGATATATGAAAATGACCTCTGTTCTGATTGGCTGCCTTATCTTATGCCACATTCAAAACACAGTCCAAGCTGAAACACTAACTTCATAACTTCAGTGTCAAGACTCAGCTGCTGTAGGCAGAATAGGTGAATATATGTAAATTACTTTTTTATGGCATCACAAAAACAATACAAAACTGTTTGTGCAGCTTAGTTTCCATTTGTTGACTGTATGAACTCTTTTATACCAAAGATTTGTATAAGTTGGTTTTCCAAAAACAATGGTAAAAAAAATAAAACTGGCTTTCCATTATATAGGCCCTTTAACCTTCTAGCGTATGTCCTGCAATTTCTATAACTCAGATACCTTCATGACTGTTTCAAACATGGGGATGAGGACAAACTTGATGAAGCCAATTTGTGCAGTTGGCTTAGTCACTTTGTCCCGGTCCATGAACGGGGCAACAGGGAAGACCTTCTGACTTCTCTCTGTCACTCTAAATCAGTGAAATGTAGAAATACAAAAGAGGTTCTATTTAGAGATTGTTTTTTTCTTTTGCCATTAGCAGTAAGATGTGAGAAAATGTGAAGCTGTTTGAATACATTAAGCCATGTTAAGCTCTAGAATGGCCCATTACCTGCATGAAATACTCCTCCAGCAGACAGTCCACCCACGGCTCGGCCACCTCCGTAGGCCTGACCTCGTTGGAGATGTCGCAGCACTTGATCAAGACCATCTTCAGCTGCAGTGTCATGAGGCCGCAGATATAAAAGAAATAAAAGAGACATAAAGCACTAATGCTATTAAAAACGAACGAAAGCACTATGCAAGTAGCCCAGTGCAAAACATATAGGCGGCTGTAAGTGTTGTTGGAGGATGTAGTTCTTACAATATGGTGCATTCTTTCAAAAACAAGGGCAAAGAGAACACATACGCATTTGACATGCTCCTCGTTGGTGAAGTCAAAGTTGTCCACTTTCTGTCTGAAGGAGTCTAATATCTCTCCATGTCTGGCCATGTCAGTGGCTAAAATGAGAGTAATGATTGCCTGGAACAGACACAAGGCCAATATTGAAGTGTTAGGGCTTTTGTCATCTGAAAGGCTAATGCATTCATTCGTTCTGGACAACTCTAAGGACAGTAGAGAGCTGCAGTACCTGTCGGACCTGTTTGAAGGACTCGGGTTCGATGTTGGCAAAGATGTTGCACTCAGGCATGGCGAGGATTTGGAAGGCCACGGCACAGTGGTGGTTCTCCAAGGGGGAAATGTCGTTATAGCGGACAGCCAGCTCTGTCCGAGCATTAATCTGATACCTGATCACAGAGAAGAAAGTAGGAGGAGAATAATCTAGAAGATGTGAACTGTTGAGGAAACATAAATAGGGTATCAAGAAGTCCTTCACACTTCAGATGGATTTCGTTATCAGTTAAACCAGCTCCCAGTTAGAACTGTAGGCCAGAGCAGAATGGTTTGTCAGAAGCTTGTAGCTGGATACAGTCATGGAAAAAGTTCAAACGACATGTTTTGTAGATTTTCTATGTGAAAATAAGTGAACATATCCTCTACAAAGAACACACTTCTGCACATCTAAATGCTCAATTACTGTTTATTTGCTTTTATTTAATATTATTAGAGGAAAAATCATAAAACGTGGTGTTATGCCACATTTTATGTTTTCCCTAATATGTTAAATTTAGCATATAAATAGAAATTGCACACGAAGAATTGCCATATTTAAGTTTGTTTCCTGTGGAAGATATTTTATTTTCACCTAGAAAGTCAACAAAACTGACGGTCAAACCTGTGCACATGGCTGTATACATGAAAGACAGACTGCTTACGTGTTGTTATATCCTGGATGGTCCAGATCATGGCACACAGCTGCTGTCATTAGAATGCACATGTCTGTCATAGTCAGCTTCTCCTGAGGAGAACAAAAATTAGTTTAGCAAACTGATCTCGGGGGCTCATGGACACAACACAACACAACTATTTTTTAACTATTAGACGTATCTGGTGATAACAAAAGCATGCTGTCATTGTATATGGCTTATTAAAATATGCAGAGAAATTCTGTTGAAGTTATTTACTAGGCTATTAAAAATTTAATGTTAGTAGAACTTCAGTTACTTTGACAAATGGCATATCTGACGCATTTGTGTGTTTTTGTATGTTGTATTTTGTGTTTTGTATGTTGTTTTCTGCTATTTGTTTTATGGATCCTGTGCAACCTGGTGAAGCTGAAGACAATTTCCAGAAATGGAAAATAAAGTTCAGCCAGGACCACTTCATTGGCTATTTTGTTTCCATTTGCAGTAAGTTATATTTAGCGGCATGGCTCTGTTCTGGCAGCAGAAAGGCTAACCACTGGCCAGGATGAGGTTGCAAAGTGGCCTGCAGAGGAAATGGCGAAAATGGGCAGGCTAAAGCAGCTTAAGCAGCGCCTTGATGAATTTAGTCAATCATATACGTAGCAGGCAGTCAGCTGAGCTGATAACAGCTGGTGATTTGAGTTTGGCTTAAGCTTGACTTCGTGATCTGACTGAATTAACACTATGCTCAAATTCTATTCTATTCCACATTTGTCTTTGTAAGTTGAAGAGTAGATTTTTTTCATTTGAATTTGATGAGAAGTTATTGATGTGTGTACAGTCTTGTTTTGTGGAAAGAACAACCACTTTTGACATAGTTGTCACTTTTTTGTATTTTTTCTGCATCAAAACAAGTGGAAACGCCGACTCTGCTGATACAGAATGAAAATGTAATAATCATTTAAAAAGAGTTTAGCAAAACAGCAACAATAACTCTACATCTCATAGGTTTAATATGCAGTTGGTAAATTTGGGTTTACCTCAAAGTGCATCAAGTGGGGCCTTCACAACCTTCACAACCTCATGATGTGAAAAAAAAGTGCCATACTTGCCTTTTCCTTTCTCTCTCTCTCTCCACTGTACACAATTTCATTTTCATTTTTTACTTTTCTGCAATGAAATCTTTTTTGACGGCCGCAGTACATTTTGAAAATAACACCGCAAACAAAGTACCCCGCATCTTTATAACGTTCACTCACAGATGATTTTTGAAGCTCAATTGGGCAGGAAAATCATGCACCTGGCAACTCATGAGTGTCAGGTTGAATAGATTGAGTCCATTATGACAGAAAATAGGTCATTTGTAATAGTGTAGTGTAATAGTGTAATGACAAAAATGAAATGATAATGGTAATCAGGGGAATATTCACATCATGGGAATGGCTTCTAAAAACTAATTTCCCAATGGCAAGTTATGCTCTGGTAAAAATACTGATCTACAGTTGAACAATCATTAAAGAATTGAAATACTGTGAGTAACAGGAATATTAACACACATACAAACACACCTGGAGGTTGCAGAGGTGAATCATTCCATACATCATCTGGCTCACGCAGAAGCAGTGGCGGAAGTTGTGGAATGGGTTCTCACGGTAATTTTCCTGAATCGCCAGCTGTAATTATTCAGCATTAGTACACAACAGTCTTTGGCTCGTGTTACTAAACAGAAGGTGCCGTTTCACACAGAGCTGCTTTGAATCTTACCAGCCATCTTTTCAGTGTGATGGGGTTCATGTTGAACTCCTTAACCAGCCCCAGGTCATGATACATGTACTCCAAACAGCTTAGCATCTACAAACAACAATGTTTAAAGTGATAGTTTAACATAATATCAGCTTTATACAGTTTCCTCCCTTGTTAATAAGTCAAGGGCATATTTGGTGTCTGTAGTTTGTTTCTATGGTTTTGCACTGGAGTTACAAGGTTAATGTAACTACCAGGGTAATACCTCCCCAGTTAGCACTGTTCAAACTACAGGCATATATCAACACATTCTTTCCTCAAACCACGCTGAATTTCTGCATAATTACATGTTTAAGATGTAAACAAAGTAATTGAGAGTGGTTTGATGTGAAATGCTCCATTCCAGAGAAACTTAGTGAGTCAGTGGTGGTGATGGGAACCAGGCGTCTGAAGTGGTGGGCAGCCCTATCCACGGCACCCGGGGAGCAGTTGGGGGTTGGGTGCCTTGCTCAAGGGCACTTCAGTCAGGTATTGTCGGCTCAGGGGATCAAAAGGTCACCATTTGTGAAATTTACCACTACTTTGTCAGTATCAACATTACATTTAAAAACTCAAGAGACACATGTAGGTCCACTGGTCAGTTTGCATAGTGAATAAATTGGCTATATTTGCATTGTAGACATCGTGACTCGTGGTTCCTATCACCACCACTGTAAAGAAATCTTTGTGGCAATTTACTCTATGATGTACCATTAATTAGTTTACTCTCCTCAATGTCTACACTTATTTATTCATTTAACTAGACCAAACTACTATGGTATGGCTTTTGTCTCTAAGGTTATAGATTCATGTAGTATCTCTAGGTATCACCTTGACTTACACCATTTGCATGTGTTGTAAGTTGCTGATGACTAAATGTAAGTATAAATGTTTTGTAAATGTCCATTTTTATAGACAATAGTATGTCATACAGTGTCAGAAACCACATAAGCAAGTCTATTTTAGATTACTAAACAACTCAACACTAGCTAGTGGCTAAATGCTCCATTACTTGTTAGCTACAAGCTACAAGAACCAAACCTGTCTTGGCTGATCAACTACATGTGGGTTAAGGATAAAACTGTATAAACTGGAGTTTTTTTTTATTGAACTGTTGCTTTAAGCAAAATGGCAGAAAGCAACAGTTACAGATCAGAAGTCTGTAATCTCTAATATGAGAACTGATTTTAACATGCAGTTATAACTGTAGACCAGAATAATAATATTGCCTTTAATCTCCTATAACCCCACTATTAGTAACACCACCAACAGAATGAACTCCATATAACCCATAGATATCCATTCACATACATATAATGTGACAAACCTCATTGTGTTCCCAGTGCCATACATCAAAGGTGGGCTTCTTTAGAGCTTCTATAGTCTCCTGGGAAAGTGTGTACTGCGTAGACATTGGAAGAGTGCAAGAAGAGTTTCATCCTATGAATAAAGTCTCTGTTTCATGGCTATTAGAGGTCTTGTACTGAAAGGAAGGCCCTGTTTTATTACCTTTGGATAACTTGGGACATCACGTCTTGGAGAGAGCTTCTTTCCATCGTCTGTGAAATTGTATTTGCAGTTGCAGTTCACCCTGTTCAGAGGAAAATGTAACATTTAAGCTAAAATGGTAAAGTAAAATGAGTACAGTTATGAAGTTCTGTAAGGTGTAAGATAATAACATATAATAATTACAATAATCAGATCTGTATTTGCTAATACTGTTAACACTGTTGGAACACTAGACAACTTGAGACTACTTGCGTTCTAAATGTGTTATGTGCTACTGCTCGTAAGTTTGGAATCATTAATATATATGTATAAACCTAAATGATTACCACATAACACACTTAGAACACAAATATATATTATACACTTATATTTACCTCGTATCTTCAAAATGATAACTTTACAGGAGAAGGAAAAAACATACATTACTTTTAATGTAAGTCAAAGGAACCAGACATTTTTCAAAGTCATTTTGGGTCATTTCTTTTAGTCTATTCATCTTGAAATTTACACACAATATAAAGGACAGTAGGTATTTTCAAATTCTGTCAAAAACAGAAAAACGATACGAAAAATACGAGGTTTTGGTCCGACAGCAGCATTTTTTTTTTTCATGTCCAGTACTGTGTAAAAATCAGAGACCACCCTTCGTTGACTTACTTTGCAAAAGTAAAGTCAAAAGTAAAAAAAAGGCATTAAGTACAAGTTATTAATTTTTCTGGAAACAGCATAAAAAATGGTTTAACAACTAAATATAATATCAGATTTTTCAGTATTTAGTGTGTCAATTCTTCACCTTTATTACTGCTTCTATTTTTCTCAGAAGTCTTGCTTTCAGTTTTTCAAATAAATCTGCAGGGACATTTTCCACACCACCAAAGTTCAGTCTTAGTTTTTGGAAACTTTTTTCACTTATTTTCCTTTGACTCCTTCTTTATGTGAGTGGTATTATCATATCTCATCTACTCAGAAATATCAACCACTGAATAATTTTATTTAAATGGTTTTGACTGAAAATTAAATATATGACTTTTGCACAGTACTGGACAATAATACACAATGTAGATTTAAATGTTATAAATAATTTTTGTCAAATTATCCATCTCAGGATTTTATTAGGAGGGTTTATAATGAGTCAAAGCAGGACTTTCAAATAAGTGCCACAAATGTTTAGCAGGATTTGTGTTACCTTGCTCCGCCTCTAGAGGTCATCTCATCCCTTAGTTTCTTCAGATCATTCTTACATTTCTCAATCTCCACCACTTTCAGCCCCTCCACTGCAAAGGCCAGAAGAACATCACTGGACAGAAAGCTCACAAGCTCTAATTGGAAATATTTTCCAAGTGTGAAAATTCTGAAAATCAGAACATTGTCAGTTTTTTCAGATTTTCAGTTTACATTCAAAACCAAACAGTGCAACAGCTCACGTTCGACTCTCTTCTCCAGCATGGCCAATCTGTTGGTCACCTCAGTCTTCAGCTCGTTTATCCTGAAAGCCCTGAAACAGAGAGGCCCCATGTTCTCTGTGTCAAACTGATAAGACATTTAAATGTGACAGTAACAGGAGGAATCCAACACAAATAATAAAGCCAAGTTCAAAACATGGTACGTGATCAGAAGCCCTACCGACTGAACTGCTCAGCCACTTGTGAGAGAACGTTCTGGAACATGTCTTCTTTCTCTGGAGGGGAAAATGAGATGGTTAATAATTCTCTGGAGTAGTCAAAGATCAGACAAAATCATTTACATTGGTTTCCTATAATATGTATAACTCTATTCTTGACTTAATATAGACCATGTAAGCTAACTACATGTTACAGTTCAGAAAATTAAAGGGAAATTCCATCGATTTTTTAAAATTTCTGTATAAGCCAATCACTGAGATGTAAACAAAGTCATTCAGAGTGGTTTGATGAGAAGTAGTTCATTGTTCAGAAAGTTACAGACACGGATTTCTTTACAGTGGTGGTGATAGGAACCAGAGGTCCCATATGCGACAGTACAAATATAGCCGTTAATTTACTTTACAAAACCCCCAGCAAACCTACTCAAGTTTTTATGTAATGTTAATGATGGTAAATTGTGGTAAATCTGGTAAAATATCTTTTTTTGGGGGGACTACTTTGTCTTAAAACATGTACCTGCATGTACCTGTTTGCCATGAATGGATTTTAAAAAACTAATTTCAGGCCAAACCCGTCTCTTTTTGCAAAACAATGTCAAAGGCATTACCGTTTCATGTAATAGCGTTTACTTTTTTAGAGGTATTAAACGCTTCATTTATCTGGTTCCATATCACATCAAATCACTGTAACTTAACCTCTTATTGACCAGGGTATATTTTGGTTTGTCCATCTGAATTTACATGACGAAATCGTAAGGCAAATTATTCAGTAACTGCATGAAATAACTGTAAATTTTAACTATATATATATATATATAGTTAAATTATATATATATATATATATATATATAATATATATATATATATATATTTGTAAAAGCTCCCCTCAAATTAACAGAACGTGTTTTATGATCATACACATATTGCTATATGCTTACAATTTACTGCTGAAAGCCAAAAATCTTAGACGCTCTTTGTATTATTCTATAACAATAGTTTTTACAGAGCAGATCACTGAAGAGACTCCATCTGTTTATAGTTTATATCCCAGATTTGTGGGAAAATGGGTCGACTTTCAGTAGAAAAAAAAAAGTGTGATTTCAGCTTCTTTTATTATAAGGGTTTAAAATTACATTACCCATCTATTTGACTGGAAAGAAGACAGTTACAGCTCTCATACTGACACCCACCTTTTAAATGTAGCTTATGAAAGGAAGTGCGTTTTCATTTACATCTCAACGATTTAATTATAAAGAAATTTTGAAAAATCAGTGGAATTCCCCTTCAATGTTTGTGTTAGCTAATAGCTAGCGACTCCAACTATTTTTGTGAAACACTATGACGAATTAATTATAGATAATAATCCGCAAAAAATGGCATCAACAGAAGAAGTCCCCAGTTTCTTCTTTGAATTTTCCGCTCCACCTTAAAAGGTGCAGGCGCCACAATGTAACTGCTGCACCATTTAAGGTGGAACGGTCAACGTGAACAAGAGGCTTTGTACAAGTTATACAATAATACTAAAGTAGCATCAAGCAGGTAAGCGTCGGGGTGTAACAGCTGCGCAATTTAAGGTGGAGCGGAAAAGTCAAATAAGTGGTTGACGAAAAAGAAGCTAAAATTAGCTGCGTCCAAGTTAACCTAGCTAGGTTAACTCAGCTAGCATAATAAACAATACTGAATTAGCATGAAAGCACAATAAGGAGTTTTGTTTACCTCCTCCCTGACCGGAGTGGGGGACTACCTTATACAGGTTACTGTGAACAGAAAAACACTAATATTAGAGTTACTTCAAGCAAACTACGCTCAACATGACGAAGTTAGTGATGAAGAAGGATTACTTGGGGGAGTTCGTAGGCATGGTGGGGTCGATGGATATGAGCGCTCCTTCTGTGTCCACCAGAAGTATCGCTGAGTTTCTGCACAGGACAGAAAACGGAACATTTAGAAAGGGGCTAAATGGAAAATTACATTACAGATGAGTGTAGAACAGCTAATAATGGAGATTATTGACCTGGCAATGTTGGACGATGTGCAGAGGAGCTCTTTAATGTCACACGGACTGCAGTGGCGACTGAAAATGACCTGAGGATGACAGGACAGCAGACATCTTCAGAGCCACCACAGCTCTGTCTCTCTAAGCTGTGGAGCCCTCGTCATTCTGAAACACACTTCGCCATCATTTTTATTGTGCCCACTTCTTTTAAAAGTAAGGCAAATACATTTTAATATCACAGTGTTAATCTGTCTCTTTAGGTTAACTGTGTATTTATTTTATTTGACTTAATAATGAAGAGAATATTCTGGAAAATGAAGAATTGTGCCAGACACAGCTACCTTTCCTACTGAAAACCAAAGAAAATACTAGGATTGAAGGAACTGGCAAAAAAACTTGGGAATAACCAAAGACAAGGCGTGAAAGACTTAAAAATGGCTTGAAAAATGAAGAACTGTACCAGATACAACTATTTTACCCTTCTGAAAACCAAAGAAAAGTTGTGAAAGACTTAAGAATAACTTGAAAAATGAAGAATTGTACCAGATACAATAATTTTTCCATCTGAAAACCAAAGAAAAGATGTGAAAGACATCAGAATAACTTGAAAAATTAAGAATTATACCAGATACAACTATTTTTCCTTCTGAAAACTAAGGAATTACTTAAATGTTTAAAGGAACTTTAATTACTTTCTTTACTAACTCCAGGAAAAGCTACAATTTACATGAAAATATAAGTTTTGACACCGTTGATTTGTTTCTCCTTTCAGATATGTAATAAAGACGGCCCACTGAGAGCCTAAAGGATCCGGTGAGTCATTCGGCTGCTCTCTGCAGGTGGCATGGCTACTTGTAAATGCCACAGACACCTGTGACCTGCAATGATCCTTTGACTGTTTTTAACACCATCAGAACACAGAAGCACCACAATGGGGATTGAAGATGCTGCTTTGTGACTATTAATACATACAGCATGTGATGTCATCAACATTTGACCCAGACGGAGCCTCCACTCTAAGCCTGCTTGGTTATGTACAGGAGGACATGTGGTTGTAAGTACTTTATGGACAGTGAAACATTTACATAGGGGCATTAGAACACTGCTCTTTCTCTGCAGAGAGATATGAGTGATGACAGATGGTCATAACACCAGCAGGGCCTCCGCTCACAGCTGTAAAGAACATTAGTCCTTCAAAGACACTCACCCTCTGAACTTTACCATCTACGTCCAGGTAGACAGTTTTAGGGGCGTAGGACGAGGAGCTCGAGCCCATTATGACCTTCGTCTGAATCTGCTGCGGGGCTTCAGCACGAGATACAGATACCTGTCCTTCTGAAAGGATTGGACTGAAAGACTTGAGGATAACTTGAAGAAGATTTGCACCAAATACAACCACCTTTAATTCTGAAAAAACAAAGAAAAGACAAAGATTTGAGAATGCCTGAGAAATTATGAACTGTACTCTCTTAAAAGAGATGGTTGTTCAAGGGTTCTTCAGTAAAGGGAATGGTTCTATTTAGAACCATGTTTTTACAGAACCATTTCATGCTCACATGGTTCTTTGCTTGGTACATAGCACCAAAAGGGGTTCTTCTATTATTACAACCTTTCATATTAACAATAGAAGAATCTGTTTTGTTGCTATACAGAACTATTTTCTTCAATCTGAAGAACGATTTCACCATGCAAAGAACCATTTATGCATCATAAAATGAAAAGAACCATTCCCTTTACTAAAGAACCATCTTTTTTTAGCATGTACCAATTACAGCTTCCTTTTTGTCATTCTGACAAATGAAATTACTTGAAAAGTTAAATAAACTTCAAAAATCCAAGAAGAACCTCTAAAAACAAAGAAGAGACTTGAAAAGTTCACAAAACTGGCAAAGAACTTAAGGATAACCGAAGAAAACCATCTAAGAATAATTGGAAATGACTTCGGAAATTAAGAAATGTACCACATACAGCTGTCTTTCTTTCAGAAAAAGACTTGAAAAGTTGATAAGAGTCTGAAAAAACTAGAGAATAACCAAAGAAAAATCTTGCAAGAGATAAAAATGACTAGGAAAAAAACTAGGAACTGAACGAAAACTGGCTACATTTCCTTCGGGAAACACCACAAGACCTAGGAATAACATAAATAGCACATTAAGAACAGTTGGCTGCCAGATACAGCTACTTGTCCTTCTCAAAGGACAAGAAATGATTTGAATAGACTTTCTAAAACAGTTTAGTGTAACCAAAGGAAATGCTTGAAAATGTAAGAACTGTACCAGATACAGCGAATTGTCCTTCTGAAAACCAGTGAAATTAGTGGAGAACTTACAAGAACTTCAAGATAGTCAAAGAAAGACTTGGAAGACTTGGAATAACATGAACAATTAAGAATAGTCCCAGATACAGATAGCTTTCTTTCCGAAAACAAATCTGGACACCTAATCTTTCTTCTTACGAACAAAAATAGGCTTAAAAAGGTTACAAGAAATTTAACAAAAGAAAACATAAGGATTAAAAATCTTGAGGAAAACATGAAAACACTTGCATCTCATACTGTTCATTTTCTTCTTCAAAAAAACAAAACTAAAGGCATTTGAAAAAATTGGATAACCAAAGACTTAAAAGACTGAAGAGCTGCACTCAGAAGACACCTGTGACTGTAAAAGCTTCTAAGGTAACACAGTGGAAAGGTCAAACGTCGGACGGTCGCGCTGTACTGACCTCAGGAGAAGCTGCAGGATGAGGAGATGTTACTGCAGTGGCAGGTGACCCACATGTGTGTGTGCCATCCACCTTCCTGAGGCTTTAAAGCCAGAGATGATGAGGGAAGTGAGCAGCAGCAGGTTTGGGAGGAGCCTCATCTCCAGTGCTTAAATATCCCTCCTCCTCCTGCTCAGACACTGCAAAGAAACTGATTCAGTAAAAAAGCAAGACTGAAGCTTCATCACATCTGCTTTCTAACTGAAATACATTCACTATTTGCCGCTCTTGATGATGATGAAGAGTGACATATAGTACTGTGCAAAAGACCTTCATTAATTAATGTCCAGTCAAAACGGCCATTGAGTTATTCATTTTTAAGGAGATATTTCTGAGAAAATTTATTATAAGATAATCCACTTTTATAACGAAAAGGAAAGTCAAAGGAAAAAACAGAAGTTTCCAAAACTGGAGTTCAAAAAATGACTAAAAGATTCAGAGAATGTGACTCCTAACAACCACCTGGAAGATTTGATAGACCATGAACAAACTGTCCCCATCAGATAAACAACACTCATTAAGTAGAAAATGCAACCAACTTCTAAGACCGAACATTGGAGCTGTGGAAAAATATCCAAATTTCTTTGAAAAACCGAAAGCAAGACTACTGAAAAGAATGGAAGCTGTAATAAAGGCAAAGAGTGAACATAAATACTGAGAAATTATATTTTGTTGTTGAGGCTCTTGTGTAATTATCTGTTAAAGACACAATTGTGTGTACAGATATAATTAAGATACAAATAAAAATATAAATAAGATACATAGATATAACTGCAACACCACTGGTCAAATATTTTGTTGCAAAAAGTGAAAATAAGTTCACACATCCTTTAAATTTTTATTTATTTGGTAAAAAATAAAATATAAAATGTGCCATAACTTTTGCATTTTATGTTTTATTCTTCCCTCAATTATGTAAAATAATCATGCATTAAAAATGTGCAGAATTGTTTTCTCTGTAGAGGAGGTGTAACTTATTTTCACTTAGAAAATGAACAAAATATGTCACTTGACCAGGGGTGCTCAGACTTTTACATCATACTGTGTATGTTTCCATATGCGGAAAAATGAAAGTTGTACTCTGACAGCAAAAGAAATAAAAAGGGTTAACTATAACGGTATTCTAAGTGTGTATATATATATATATACATACATTTACATATATATATATATATATACATTTACATATATATATATATACATACATTAAATATAAATATATATTTTAATTTTTCAATAAAGTTTTATTCTCACAACTACATCTGTCAGTTATCTTTATTGGCAGTTTGAGTCTGGCTATGTGCATTTTAGACTGCAGAAAAATGGAAATGGAGAAAAAGGCTGTATCCTTCATCATACCTGCTGTATTACTGAAAAGCTCGCAGTGTAAACCTCTATTCAGTCACTTTGCTGGATTTATTAGACTGATATTAAATTTATAATACTATTTTAAATATTATTATTTGTATTTTATCTTGCTTTTATGGTTTGCCTCATGTTTGTGTTACTAACCTTTATTATTTATTATTTTCTACTCATTTTTATATAGTTAGCCTTTGAATGATCTGTCTTGAGCTGCGTTTTGATTTTAATGTCATGTAAAGCTCTTCATTGTAGACCTATTTTTACATAAATGAAGTTTATGATGAAGTAATCATCATCATAATCTTTATGGCCATTTGAAGTCAATGTGAATCAGAAATCAACACATTTTCTGTCCATACAGTGATGTATTTCTGAGTGAAATGAGGGGAGGGTCTCTTAGCTTGCTGAGCATTTTCGCTTAATGATTGGTGGGATTGGTGGGAGGGGGAGATGAAACATGATATTACTGGTTAATATTTTCCCCACCCACTGGTCCACAGTGATGCAATCAGGATGTATAAGTGGTGTAAAGAAGTCATTACATTTTGATTCAAGAATACAAGAAATCAAGAATTTTATCTTTTGAGTGGTACAATATGATGAATGTAAAGAAATGCAAAAAAAAAGCAAAAATATGATATTCATGATATGATGATTGCAAAAAAGGCAATTTCAGTTTTATTTTCAGCTTGATTTCAAGCTGACCTTGAGTCTTAGCAAGCCTATACTTTAGTTCATAAAAAAGGAAAACTGGAGCCTCCTGAGGTCATTCATGAACAGAACAACCAGCAGCCTTCAGCTACTATCAGAAGTGAAAAGACAAAAGAACGTAACACAAGTTTACTGAAAAGCACCATTTCAAGTTTATTGACAAGTGTTTGTTTGAAAGGTAGTCACTGATCGGTTTATGTTCTTGCGGAAGTTTTCACTGAATTGTCAGATTCTCCACAATGAATAAATATGTAGCCACTCTAGCTGTGGCTGTAAATCAGATATGTAATTACACAGCATTACAAACCCTGATATTGATTGTGTTTCATTATAACAGTATCGTCACATAAATCACAAATTCAGCACTGAATATGAATAGCGAACATCAGTGAAGTCTGAAAGTGCTTATTTAATGATTTAAGCTTATTACAGCCATTTTAAACAGTCTAATGAAGTTCGCTGGTTGTGAATATGACTCTGTAAAGCAGGCGGTCTTGTATAATGCCTCTGTGCTCCGGTGGTGTGAGTGAGTCATGTTGCTGAGCTCAGTCAGCAGCATCAAATCTCAATTCAGCACACTGTGCTGCTCCGTTTTCCCCTGAGCCACAGCACTGTGTCATATTCACTCCTGAAAAAACAGCAACAACTCCAGAGCCTCAACAATACCGGAGCCCACTCACATACTGAGAGTCTCAGGAGGAACTCCAGAGTGATCTGAGCCTGGAAGAGAAACACAAGGAGCTCTGTGTGTGGATGCTGAACACCACAGCTGTAAAACACTGTGGTGTTAAAAGGGAATGTGGTTTATGTGCAGTGCCCCCCACACTGATAAGCACTCTCTGTAAAGATTAGCAGAAAAGGATTTGAAAGTTCATCTTTGTTGTTTCTAAGAAAAAAAAAGGCTTTTGCTTTTTCTTAATGGGCAAAAGTGCAATAAAAAAGGTTTTAATGTTTTAAAAATTTTTAAGACATATGTTAGTTACTTTTTCATGAATGGCAAAAAAAATGCTACAAATAATTGTCTTATGTTTGAGGAAAGTGTTTATTTATTTATGTTTTCTTTATGAATAAGGGTCTGTTGTTTTTAAGAAATGCTCAGAAATGTTTAAAAATATTTATTCATTTTGAATGATTTCAGCAAAGGTGCTATACTGTAAAACGCTATAAAAATACAGTTTGTAAGTAGAGCTGGGCGATATGGCCAAAAACGTTATCACGATAAACAAAATTCATATCGTTCGACATCGATACATATCGCGATAAATGTCAAATCATGATTTCTTTCACGTTTGAAGGCTGATTTTGCTCCTGGGTGGTTAATTGTGGTTTTAAACTATCACTTATGGTCCGATCAAGACAAACACTCGGCAAACAGTGGAACATTTCACTAATCTGTCTTGGGACAGTGGGAGAAAGTTTCTGAGCTGTTTTTTATCAGCTTGAAAAGCACAGCTGCAATTTTTGTAATAGTCATGATTTAAGAAAGAAAACAGATTATTTTTAGCTGTCTGGTGACGAGCGCTCGGCTACTCCGTTACAAATGCTAAACAAGTGGCCAACAACAGTGCTAAACTCTTTACTTTCTCAACAACGTCGACTCGGTTCGGTAGGTCACTGCGGTCACTCCTACCACGTCCATGTCAGAGCATATCACAGTATTCAGACACCAGCTAGACGGCTGGGTTTCTCTATGCTATCGCAGTAGTTTAAGGGGTGAACCGCAGTATATCTGACGTTCGCTGTGTAAAAGCATTATCTGCAGTGTGAATGTCTCACCAGTCACAGAGTCCTCCTTTTAGGTATGTTTAAACTGAAAGCGGTGATTTTGTGTCTTGTTTGATTTACCGTATCATCAATTCACCGTGTTTTGCCGGTGCGCTGCTTCAAGTTAGCCAGCAGCTAAAAACAGCTAGCCTGGAAAGACAGCGCTCTCCCGCTCTCCAATGCCTCACGGCTCCCTCAGTTTACTTTCGAACATGAACCCACTTCTTTCTTTCACTTTCGTTGCTCGAGAATGCACTAATACTAAAATATGACGGTTTGGCGCTGCAGACGTGGTTTAACACCGCTGAAGTTGTTAGGATGCATGGAAAGAGGTGAGTTCACTGTAGGTCAGTACAGTTACACTACTGACCTCGTCACTCACACTCGGTCACAGGAGAATAGATCGCCGATAACATCCACTCAGACAGGGAATGTTTCAGCCGTTGCTAAAGTATATTTGGCGACCCCTTTTTTACTCGTGCCCCCCTCCCTCTCTAATCAAGTCGATAAATTCGGAAGTGCGCCCTCTCCTGGCAACAGCAGAGTAGTGTCGCTTTCCTTGCAGTAGAAAGCGCCACCAGGGATTTCGCTAAAACGTGGAAGTGTGAAAACGGTGTATTATATCGAACATTTATCGAACCTGTCTTATCGCTCTATCGAGGAAAAGTTATATCGCGATACTTATCGTTATCGTTTTACCGCCCAGCCCTATTTGTAAGTGGAAACAACAGATCCTCTACAAGCCTCTGCACATTTTAATGCACAATTATTGTTTTTTTGCTAAATGTAACAGAAAAAAAGTGCAACATAAAATGTGGCCTGTGCAAAAGCTGTGGAGAATGAAATTGTGCAATAAAATTGGCAGAAATGGTATATTTGTTTTTTTCCCTGTAACTTACTTTCACTTAGAAAAATCAGCAAAACGTATTTTGACCAAAACCTCTGCATATGACTACGTCTGTTGTTGTGGAGAAAAATGTTCTGCACAAAGATTAGATTTTATATTATTTTCAGAGCATGATATAGCCAATAAACAACAAAGACAATTTATTCATAACCTTTTCTTTTCTTTGCTAATTTTCTGTCTTTTTTTAACTAATGGTGCCAATAACTGTGGAAGGCACTGCAGACCTACTTGACTACACATGGTTGGCACTTTGAGAACACAGTCACATGGCTGAGAACTCCCACCTGACTTAATGAGGAAAAAGGAGTGTAATCCATCAACGCGTGTGTGCGTGTGTGGGCGGGTGTGTGCGAGTGTGCACGTTTGTTAGGGTCTGAGTCTGAGTAACCATGGAGACAAAGGTAAGATAAAAGAAGTCTGCACCGCTGGCATATTTTAATGATTAAAAAACCCGACACAAATAAAATCATCACTGGTCGATAAAAATATCCTGGGTTCAAATAGAGGAGCTCCAATTCTCTCTCTTTCTCTTTTTTTCTCTCCCTCTTTACATCAGACGACAGAGAGCCACCATCCCTTCATCGTCCCATTTCATCCCGCCGTTGTGGGGTTTTGTTTCCGTTGCTGGTGTGTAAAGAGATGAAAGTGTCCAGTTACCATATTCAAATAAACGGCAGCGCCTGCGGGCATTAACAAAAAGCAGCTTTGTCTGATGGATCAGGCCGTGGTCCCCCCTTTTTTGTGGGTTTTGTTGCTGGTGATTTTCCACTGCAGGTGTGATATTCACTTGTCCAGCAGGCACCTCAGATCTCTTTGAACCTGAAATACAAATTTAGCCAGTGAGGATCAGGCTGCGCACAAAACTAAATGCTTCCCAATTATTCATTAGATTCTTCTAATTCAATGTGAATCATAATACAGGCAGAAATGATTAACTACTAATTAGACATGAAGCGTCACATGCAGCACCAGCTAAAACATGATAAAAATGATCTTGAAGGAATAGTTTGGTGAAAAATCTAATTTTAAACCAATTACGACATGTTGTGTTTGCGAGAAAGACATGTTTGGTGTCTGAAATTTGTTTCTTTAGTTTTGCCCTGGAGCTCCGAGGCTAATGTAGCTAACAAGGAATGGAAGCTCATAATTATCAATTAGCATCACGCAAACTTAATTCCTAAATCACTTGCCTCAAATCTCAAATAGGCTTGCTAATGTGGTTTCTGATGTAATATATACTGTTATCTATAACAATAGACAAAAGTACTTTAGTAGTAGTGGTAGTAGTATTAGTAGTAGGAATCTTCTTAAATTCTGAATTACTTTTGTCCATTTTTTGTTTTTAGAGACAGCAGAAGGCCATATACAGTCAAAAAAACAAGTTTATCTGAGATGTGCTGCGGTCTGAGACAATAGTGTGATGTTATGGCTTATAGTTTGCACAGTGTAGCCTTGGCTAAAATTAGGGGAAAATGGTCCTGCAAAAAATCCAATTTACACAATTATTACTGGAGCGGAAAGGCTAACATTACCACCAAACACTAGAACTCAATTTTTACCCAAATAGCCCAACAAGACCTACATTTTGAAAGAAGTTTTGGGGAAGTATTTTTATTATTTGGCTGATTTTGAGTTCTAGCATTTGTTAGTAACTTTAGCAAAAAGAATCAAAACAAATATGGCTTGGCTGATCTACTACAACTGAAGTAAATGGGAAATTGTGCACATTTAATTTTTTGATCTAACTGTTCCTTTGAATGTGATTTATCTCTTTAATCATTAACATTTTTCAGTGATAAATCATGATTGAAATTATAATCTAGGCCAACAAGGCTAATCCACATCCAAGAACTCTCGTTAGTGTCATATCACACATCAAAACAGCTCTGCCAAGCTCTCCATGTACCCGACACCAAAATGGGCTGATAATTACACTGACGTCACAGTGAAAATGACAGACCTCTGACGAAACCTTTTCTCACCTGTGCACAGTTTTCCTATTCTTACAGGAACGCAGCAGAAACTAATAACTCCCCCAGTTATTGACTACTGAGGTCCCAAGACTGCAATTAATTGTTTGCTTATAAAAAACGGCATCAACAAAAGCACATTTAAAAGAGTTGTTGATTCAAAAATGATTATGTGGTTTCTGACACTGAAAGATGTACTGCTATCTATAATAGTCTGAACCATAGACATTTTAATTGGGCCTCAGGAGGGGAAAAATACAAGAAAACTGCAGGATATGTGCCTTTTAACAACGTTAACATGCAGTTTGAGTCAAGTATGTGATGATTTAGATGTGCATTTTGCATGATGTGAATCAACAGGTATAAACTTTAACTACTTCTTAGCTACATTAGCATCATAGCTCAAGAGCAAAACTAACATCGTGGCTACAACTGGGAAAAGAGGGGGAAATTACCCTAAATGTAGTCAATCAGTGAGGTGTAAATTAGATTTTTCACTGAACCGTTCATTTAAGTACCATATGGAGGAGCAGCTGTATTTTATAGAACCTCTAAAGCTGCAGATAAACTGTACTTCTAGCACAGATCCACACAGCACCTGCCGGAGGTCAATTATCTACAATATTCTCTGTCAAGAACACAAAGCAACTTATGGAAAGAAAAGATTCCAAAGAATTTTTTCTCAAAGGCAGCAGATTAGTCAGCCTCTCACTGAAAATACCAGCACATCTTGTCTCTAACACTGAGCAAAAATGCTGGGTCAAAAAAGGTTTCATCTAAAAAGCAACAGCTATGCTTTTATTTTACGTTATTGATTTTGCCAAAGATTTTTAAAGGTTAGTTGGAGAAATAGTTTGCAACCACCACCATTCACCTGTTTTTTAAACTACTGGAGCTGAAAAGGCTGTTTAACATGAAGTTTAGCTTTTGTTAAAACATCCTGTTTACATCTTTAAGTATCCATAAATCTATGAAAAGAATAGTAAATGCTGTTTTGCTTAAAATAAAGGACACTGAACATGTATTGAGAAATCTCACCCTCTCTGTCTTGTAGTGTAACCGCACCAACCACGAACCTCCTTAAAGACCAGCCTTGACAGCAGCTTAAGAATCAAGGAGAAAACATGTCAAATGAGAGACATCTGAGGCAAAGGTAAACTCCTTAAAAGAGAATTTGAACGGATATATGCCAACACAACAAGCAAGCTCTGGTTTCTGGTTATTATGTTATCTACTGGGTGTTTATATGCTACTACAAGTAATAACTCCTACCAGACAGGCCAGTACATCAGCGGTAATAAGCATGTAGAAAACATTGTTCCAGCCAGTGGGAGAGATCAGTCCAGCCAGCAAAGGCCCAATAGCAGCACCTAGTGGACAACAACACAACACAGGAGGTTACAGTGAGGACATACCATTACAAACCACAGTTTACAGTAAACAGTCAACTTGACAGCTTGGGCATATTCAGTTTCATTTCCCACATGCTTTCTGTTGGGGGGTAACAGAATGTAACTATTAGCAACTAAAACAAGTGAACGAAGTGAAAAGAAGCCTTAAGTCAGGAAGAAAGTTTTGTATCTACAAACCTAATTCCAAAACAGCAGGTAAAATAACAGAAAACAGTGATCTGTGAAGTGTCTTTTATAGGTATTTAATTGAAAACAACACAAAGAAAAGATACTTAATATTTTACCTTATGAACTTTATTGATTTTTGTAAATATATGCTAATTCCCACTTTGACGCCTGCAGCACATTACAAAAAAGTGGTGGCAGGGACAGTATAAGGCTGGAAAGTTTGTGGAATGATCATAAAACTTTTGAATGTTTCACAGTTAAATAGGTGAATAGTCCAGTTTAAAAACAATGTTTTTCAATGCACAATCGCAAGAAATTTAGGGATTTCACCATCTACAGTCCATAACATTATTAAAAGATTCAGAGAATCCAGAAAAATCTCTGTACGTGAAGTGCTGAAAACCAATACTGTCAGTGGCCTTCGATACCGATCGACCGCACTGCATTAAAAACCAACATGCTTTTGTAATGAGCATAACCACATGTACTCGGGAACACGTCAGAAAACCTTTGTCAGTAAACGCAGTTTGTCGCTGCATCTACAAATGCAATGCAGAAGCCATATATATTAACAACATCCAGAAATGCTTTTTCTCCGGGCTAATGCTCATCTGAGAGCTGATGCAAAGTGGAAATGTGTTCTGTGGCCTGAAAGTTCAAACTGTTTTTCTTGAAATAATGGACATTGTGTTCTACGGGTCAAAGAGGAAAAGGACCTTCTAAATTGTTACCAGCGTCTGTCATGGTATGGGGGTGTGTTAGTGCCAGTGCATGGGTAGCTTTCACATCTGTGAAAACAACACTGATTTTAAGGGGTACATGTACATTTTGGAAACACATGCTGCCATCTAGACATTGTCTTTTATAGGAACAACACTGCTTGTTTCAGCAAAATAATACTGAGCCACATTCTGCCTGAGTTACAGTTCCCACATTTTTTGAACGTTATTAAAAGGAAAGGTGATGTAACACAGTGGTAAACATGCCCCTGTCCCAACTTTTCTGCAGACATCAAATTTGTAAGCGTGTATATAGTTAATTAGTTAATTAATTGAAACATTAAATTTCTTGTCTTTGTACTGTTTTCAATTGAACACAGGCCACAGGGATTTGCAAATCATTGCTGTCTGTTTTTATTTACTGTCCCGGTTTTTTTTTCGGATTGGGTTTTTATTAGGGCTACACCATATAATATAATGTTAATGATTATCTTAATACGGACCTTTGCAATACTGATGTCACAGAATGAGCTTCTAGCCAATCACAATGTTTTTAGCTCCTGACCAATCCCATTTCCAGGTAAGTATATCTGTCTGATGCTATTTATGTAATCCAACAAAAGCGAGTTATTTTGGTCAAAGCAGGTTGATATTTAATCATGCAGCATTATTGATTCTCCAATGTGTTTTTGATATATTGCACAGTGTTTTGCAATATGTAGCAATATATCGCAATACAAGTATTGTGTCCATATTGTACAGCAGTATCTACTCTACATAGGATATAACACAATCTTGATACACGTGACCTTTGAGCAGGAAGCACTGTCTCTGCAAAAATAAAAATAAATAAATATTCTCCTTTGAGGAATTGCATTCCTTTCATACCTATTGATCCAGTTCCGTCAATAATGGCCGTTACAGTGGACAGTGCTCTGGAGTTCCCTCTCAGACACTCGTGAGTTCCCTGTTCAAAAAGACAAACTCAGGGTTACAAGGCTGCAGCAGGACCTAAAAGCATGGTCACATTTCAGTGACCTGCTCTGACAGCAGCAATGGGACCGCAACAATGTTGTATTGTTGTTTTTGGTACGAGGAAAGTGTTATTGAAACTTAAATAATTAATAATGATCTGTATAACTTAAACTATTATTATTACTACTTCTACTAATATTAATTATTACCAAGTCGGCTGAGACGGCTGTGGTGATGAGGGCGTAGGGTCCATTTACCAAAGCACCACAGAACAGCAGCATGCCTGAAAGAAATAAAGAGAGACAGATTTTATATACTCTCATGGAGCACTTACCATAAATATAGTAACTCTGCTGAAGATACCATTCTTATCAAGCATCTACCTTAAAGCCAAAATAAACGGTTTCTACACACACTACCTCAAATATATTCAATAAGCCAGGACATTTTTTGGTGTCTGAAATTGGCTTCTTTTGTTCTCCACTGGAGCTACGAGGCTAAGGTAGCTAACACATAATGGAAGCTTACAGCAACCGGTTAGCATTATGCAAACTGCACGCCTAAATGAAATCACACATAACGTCACACAGAGTGTTAGAACCTACATAAGTCTATTTGTCCGAATGCAGTTTGAGGCAAGTATGTGATTTAGGCATTTAGGCATGAATTTAATTAAAATGATCAAATTCATTATGCAATTAATTATATAATTAAGTCATTACATTTGAATTGTATAGAAAATGATAGTGACATCTACGCAATAAAGGATTAAGCTTTACTCTGCAACATTTTTAAAGCTTTTTTAATTATTTAAGCTCTTCACAAATATTTAACACCAGGCCTAACGCTGGGCATTTTGCATAATCATCGTCAAACAGTTGGTGTGATGAGCAGTTGGTTTTCTGTTTGCAGAAGCAAGCAGTTGGACGAGGTCTACTCACCCACAGTGGTTGTCACGCCGCGCTGCCCGACGAGGTTGTATACGAACAGCTTGGGAAAGAAAGAGAGGGAGGGAAAAGATGAATAAGCAGCAGCCCTGGCAGGAAAGAGAAATCTGTTCGTTTGTTTTCAGCGGCTGGCGGGTAAACTCAGACACACTCCGCTGCGGTGTGGGCGTGCGAATCGAGCCGCCTGTTAAAATCTGTGAGCAAACTGCAGGATGTGGGTGTGTGTATGTTTCTGTGTATCTGTTAGTGAGAAGAGACTAACACTAGCATGAGAATCCAACTCGCACAGACCACACAGTTTCCTCCTATTATTTCAGTGCGAAAAGCAAGTCCAAAGATTTTTTCCATGTGCCATTGAGGTATCGCTAATATTCAGGGATTCTTGTATATTAAAAACTCACTGAAAAGGCAACAACCTATGGATGCTTTTAGCATTGAAAAGGACAGCACTCAATCAAATAATTAACCCTCTAAATGGAAAGAAGCCGCCAGCAAGTCCAAACTTTTATTATACACTTCTATAACTTAAGAATAACTCAGACAGTTTGTATTGTAGTCCATGTAGTAACTGAATAATAATAAGCAACAGGATGTAGCCTAACAAGGCTGGGATGGTTATAACCCTGGGATAAGGGGTTAACAAGGGTCTAACAATTTTAATACAGATCGAAAAAATTAATGTTTGCAACACTGTATTGAAATTTAAAACTAAGGACAGACAGAAGTTGTTTATCATTCTGTAGATGGTGAACTTTGGGTCTACGCAGTTTTTTCTCTATGGGAAAAATGAACAGCGTTTTTGAAAGTGCCTTTACATTTGTGGCACACAAAGATGTTTCAGTGCCAATATGTTTTCCTATTTCATTTTTATCCCCGAACGTCAAGCCTCCAAATTACAGGGTTGCTTAGCATGAAGATGTTTGGATACTCCTGGCTGAATTACGTTTTGTTGATTTTCTAAGGGAAAGTAAGTTAACATATCCTCTGCAGAGAACACACCTAAATATTATACAACTAATAAGCATTTTCTGCAAAATCTAATGCACAATTAGTGCACTACTTATTTGCTGGAGATATATAACATATTGAAAAAAATAAAACATGAAATGTGCCATAGCCCCCATGTTAAATTCAGCAAGTAAACAGTAAGTGTGCATTAAACTGTGCAGAAGTGTGTTCCCTGTAACTTATTTTCACTTAGAATATATCAACATGCCACTTGACTGGGGCACCCAAACTTTTGCATACAACAGTAAATGTACTATATTTGGTACCCCTTTACAATAAGACTACCCTTACAAAGGGCTTATAAATGGTACTCATTTTATTTACCATAAACACCTAAAAAAAACATTAATAAGCAGGTATAACACTGACTAAATCAACTAAAAAGGGCAACAGTCATCTGTTGCTTGCCAAATAGTGAAGCCACATTCATCTGTTAAGTTAAACCTCAGACTTTAAATCTGTTAAGTTAAACCTCAGAAGTTAAACCTCAGACTAAAACTTTGTCTTTAATGGATTTCTGTGAAGCTGCTTTGTGACAACATCAGTTGTAAAAAGCGCTATACAAATAAATTTGACTTGACTGACTTGACTTGACTTTTGCATCTTATTTTGTCTTCCTCATCAGTCAAAATTAAACCTTATCAGACACAATAGCTCACTGTTGCCCTTTTTTTATTTCTGTTTTAACTGCTCTATTCATGGTTTTAAAATGCTTACGGCCTAATAAATAACCATCAGTAAACTAATTTTAAAACATTCATAAACCCTTTATAAAGGCAGTAAAGCCCTTTATAAGGGCAGTAAAGTGGTTCAGAGAATCCTGCTATGTTTAGAGGAAGAATGTAAAATGTATCGGCTTTAAAACGTTTTGTTTACCACGCGGCGTGACAGCAGTGATTTCTGAAAACGCCATTCATTTTTTGTCATAGGGGAAATCTGCTTAGACCCAGAGTAGAAGAATGATGACATGACTTTAGAGGTCTATTAGAATAAAGTGGGCAGGGAGGGGCTTACACACTTAAATGACTGGGATTTCTTCCTGCACTGCTTATAAATTCTACAGGGTTGTGAATGTGGGAACTTATTTTTTTAAAGGGCAGCATGGCAAGCACTGAAAAAGTTCTGATAATATAATAAAAGAGCCTTCACGTGCAGTAGAAACAGTGCACGCACTGAAAGAGACTGATATCAACATAAGCATAACAAGGCACAAAAGAGGTCAAGGTGGTTTATTCATTAATAAGCCAGACTGGAGGAACACAGGTCATGTGATGAAAATAAATGTGAAAAAGATGTGTTGCTTATGACTGGAGGAAAATATTTACAAGACAAGATCAGCTGACCTTGCTAGTAGATAAAATCTGTATTAAAAACACGTAGGCCAGCCTTGATGTTATTCAGCTAGTCCTATGTCATAGAATACTGCATTGTTAATAGTAAGTTTTAAAGTAAATTAATTTGTAGTAGTCAGAAAACTGATACCAGTAGAAGGTTATTGCCACTATGCTCTTGAATAAGGTAATGACCCTTAGACAGTGTGTCTGGACACAATCTAAACTGCTAAATGTAATGGAATGTATGCCAGCAACCCAGGAAAATAGCTCAGGGCGCAACAGCCTTTTCTACCTTAAGGTGTCGAACAGCAGTCTCTGGGAATTTGCCAAAGATGCAAAGTGATCACGGACACACTCACCATAGGAGCAGCAACGATTAGCATGACGCAGCAGGTGGTAGCCCTCCCCCCAGTGTAATCTGATATGACACCAGCAAAAATGCCACCTGAAACAAACACAATGCATTCACATTAGACAGCCCCTGTGAAGTGCTGCTTCAGCGATGGCATCTTTACACAAGACAGAGGAATGTTAGCCTGCATTAATTATAACATCTTCACTGCAGCCTTTCAGTAAAGCTAAAATAAAACAGTACAGCTTACCCAAAATTCCTCCAACGTCAAAAAGCGTGGACATGTCCCCGGCTGCTTTAGGATCAAAATGTGCTGCAAAAGACCAATGAAATGGTTATGAAATGGTTATAAATTAATTATAATTAATTATAATTAATTTAGAGTCATGATGTTGAGTTTTAAGTCTATATTCTTTGCTACCAAGCTGAACTATGTTGCTGTAGCTAATCAAAAATAAACAGGATGACTTAAAATGAACTCCTTATTAACACTTAATACACTTTACATGTAAGGTTTATGACAAAAACAGAGCAAGGATTATGAATGGGATTATTGTTAATGTTCTCTAAAGCTTATGCTACCACACTTGCTTACAAAAATGCATGGATGGGTCAATTACAGCAACTAATGGAAAATGTAATTCAGAAAAAAGTAGGGAGTCTTACCAACATTAGCAATATACAGAGGTAACCAGTAGAGGAAAGTGTAGCTGACCAGCTTAGCAAACAGCAGGCAGAGGGAGAACTCCACCACACCCTGGAGAACAGCATGACAAAACAAGTTTCTGGTTAAACTTGTAACACAAAGTAAGACAAGAAAATAATTGCAGGCATGCAGTCTGTGAAGAAGTAGTTCAACCAAGGATCCTAACATGGCTAAAATGGAAACTAGCAGACAAAAATCTCATTATATCATCTGCATAATGCTCATTAGTGGCTATTCATTTTCTTTCATTGTTTGCAATATTAGGATTTCTGACTGAACTATTCCTTCAAATAGAAGAACGACAAAGGTGTAATTCTTTATTGTAATGAATTAGCCAGTTTCATCTTTTCATTAAATATCTGAAAACCAAACCACAACAACCGAGCTAACTGATAACTGTCGCTTCAGCAAATGGAAAAAGCTGTAATGTCAGTGTGCTGGCATCACATTTCAAAGTGAATCAGCAAACCAAAGGCACGCTAGTGCTGTCATCCAGTCTATCATGATAGCAGCCATGGCTGGAGAATAGAAATTTCCACTAACCGGTATCCTAAGAGCTCCACAGAAACTTATAGCCTCTGCCTGCTCCTCCGCAGCCTCCACCACAGCAGGCGTGTGATTGTTGAAGATTTCCTCATTATTAGTTGAGTTTCTTAGCAGTGGCTCCCGCTCTGTATCCTCCTACACACACGTACAGTTTGTATGTAACATCTACTGCAAAGCATCATATGTATACAGATTATATACTACACTAGGTTGCTGGCCTTACATGATGCTGGGGTGGGGTGCAGTTCACATCTTCTGGCTCTGCACAAAAAAGGCGAAGAAAGCTGCTTAGCAAAAAATACAATTCAGCACTTTCAAAGAAATAATCATGTGAAATGTCAAATTTACACCATTTTCCACTGGCCTCAAATGTAATTCCTGGTCCAAGACATGCTTGGTGTCCAAGGTTTGCCTCTTTAGTTTTGCATTGGAGCTACAAGGCTAATGTAGCTAACACCTAAATGGACAAAAAATGGACAAAAGCCAAAAAACAGTAGTAGCAGCCAAGAAAGAGACTTCATTTTCAGAAATAACACTGTCAGATGTTGTGAGGAAACCACTTAAGCAAGTCTATTTCAGACTCAATAACTCGATGTGGTGAGTCAAGTTTGTGAAAATGTTGTGATTTTGCAATGAACCCGGCAGAGTACATGCTTACATTAAGCTCCAGTTCAAAACTGAGGCAAATCTCAGACACCAAACTGGTCTTTGCTGTTTAACCATATATGATGTAAAGAGGTGGGGGTTAGTTGGCTTAGAGCAGCAAGAGCAAATGGGGGTTGCTTGAAGCTGCTGTTGCAAAGCAGCCAAAACACATACAAAGTAACTGTCACTTCCTCCACAGAATCCAAAGCAGGCTGAACTTACTTTCGACCAAAAACAGGAAGCAGAGGATTCCCATGACTCCGATGATGATTCCAGGCACGATGAAGGACATGCCCCAGGCAGAGGACACAAAGGCCCCTGCGATAAGTGAGCCCAGAATGTTCCCCACTGAAGTATGCGAATTCCACACCCCCATGATGAACCCTCGCCTAGAACATGCAAAGAACGTCACAATGGCAAGAACAATCAATGAGATGATTACAAAAATAAATGAATAAAATAAAAAAAAGACATTTACATCTGCTCCTATACACATGCAGGAGGCTTATAGGTAACATGCTACTGCAGGGCAGTGCTCACAATGTTCCATGTAACCAACATAAGCTCTTAATGACAACTGACGTAGACCTACATGAACATTAATAAATACTTGTTCTAATCATTTGTCGTAAAGCTAACATTTGCCTGGCTTGATGTCAAACTGACATAACATCTATCAAGTGACAGTGATTTTTTTTTAGGTTGTTTCATGACACTTTCTGGTGTGAAATGACAGACATTGTAGCTCAGTGTATGTAACAGTGACATAATACCAATAACATGACAAGGCTGACGGAACAAGTGATTTTCTTTGTGGTCTTTAGGTAAAGCTAATTTCATTTTACCTTTCATAAGACTGGCTTTCCATGGTGAAACTTTCATGCAACTTTAGTTGCTTGAAACCTACATGCAAACTAAACTGCACTTGAGTTTCATACTGTAAAGTGTCCTGCAACTCATTTGAAACTCGGCCACAATGATTGCAAGCATCTCAACTTCGTAGAAGTTTCATGAAACAGCCAATCACGATGCCAATAACACATCACGTGATCACACTGACCAGCATACTTTCAAACCATTGATTTCACTGGATAAGTGGGCAAGAAAATAAAACAGAAGATGGTTTACGGGCCGGTTGAAAAGGAGACCCCTTCTTGCACTGACTGACTCAAGGTTGGCAGTTTTCCATTTTGTCAGTTTCTCAAAGCTAACATTTCCATATGTCAGATATGCAATAAATAGCCAGCTAATGCTAACAGCTGTTTAAATGGCTGCTCGATGTTTATTCATCTTTAGTCTGCTGTTAACATGATTTACATAGCCAGATTATTACTTCTTCCTCTCTACAATCGCTAGTTTTACACAGAGCGCAGATTTATTAGGAAATCAAAGGGATGAATTTTTTTGCAGAAAGGGAGTTTCGAGATGTGGCCAACGATGGTCCTCGTGCTTCTAGGACAGGATGAGCGAGACATCAAATATAACCATAACGGCTACTTAAACATTCATTTTTAAAGGCTTAACATGCACACAAAGGATAAAAACTCAAATATGTAGTATAAGATATACAAAGCCATGGGGGAAAAAAGAACGGCAATGACAGCTGAAAAGACTCATGAATGACTTTACAGCAAGAACAATACAATGTATCAAAAATTATTAGCTGCTAATTTGGCTAACTAGTGAAGTAATTAAATGCATTGTGTGCAACTTTGTTTTTGAATTGCTTTGCATAACTTAATTTGCACAGAAAATATGCATCAACTCACCACACGCAAACATCTGCATCGGTGTGTAAAGAAAAACTAAGATTTAATCTCGGTCATTGTGATATACACTAAGCTACCAAAGTCAGTTGTTATGTGTCATGTCATTTCACCAAAAAAGTGTCATGACAACTCAATGCAAAGGGAAAAGAAAAAAAGAAGAATATATATATCGACTTATGTCAGCTTGTCATCATAATTGACAAAAGCAGTCTTTATGGTAGATGATGACTATTAAAAATGCCATTTAATGACTATTAAATGTTTATGTTAGTTTATGTCAGTGTGCTTATGGAGGTTAGACTTGCGAACACTGCACTACAGTTAAGATTTACCGACTTCTCACTGTCATAAAAAAAATGTATCTTTCTTCTTGGAAACTACAGCAAAAGGATAAACTTTAAGATCTGGAGTTCACTTATGACTGCAATGATGTGCAATCTGTGCTTGTAAACCCTACAACTGTTCAGCAACTCAATCTTGGTCTCATGTCACTGTCTTAGGCCACCAGCATGCAGGGCTAGTTTGGTTTTAGTACAGATACAGAAATGGATCTACTAATAATCTACATCAATCCATCCACATCAGTGAGATCTACAGAGCTTTTCTATTCTATAAACCTATCCACATTTCTTAACAATCTAATCTAAAGCACTTGATCAAATTTAGAACTTTCAGCATTCTTTACTGTCCAACCAGTGCTATGAAAGTGCTGGCAAACCTCCAGCTATTTTATGAAAAGATTATTTGTGCAACAAGTGCAGCTGCATGTGCAAAGTCAGCAGAGCTGTGTTAAGTCAGCGGCCAGGAACGTGATCTGCACACTCACTTCCCCTTTCCGAACCAGTTCCCAACACAGGCCACCACTGCAGGCCAGCCTGTAGTCTGTACCAAGCCGTTCAAAGCCTGGGGGAGGATAAAGAGAGAGAGCGGGGTAGAGAGAGAGAAAAGAAAAGAGAGAGAGAGTGTTATCATAAACACTGCAACACAGTAACAGCAGCCTTGAGTGAAGTACTAGCTGCACAGTGAAGTCATGTGCTAACCATGTGACAAATCCTCAGTCAGATCAACATGCCATAAGCTCACTGACCACAGCCTGGCAGCTGAAACTTAATTAAGGGAATACTTCCACAGTTCTTCAGAGTTTGTGAAAGACGCTACAGAAAATGAACATCAATTATTATTAATATTATTATAACTACAGTTTTTAAAGTAATCTTTGCATTAGCTCTGCTGCATCTGTAGTGTTGATTACCACAGACAATAATGTTTCCCTGTGCGAAGAAAAACGAAGAAAATACACAAAACAGATGAGGGCCATACATTTCACATGACCGGCGTGTGAAAGGGAAGCTTCACTAAATAAGACGCTCTTTTGCCACTGTCTACATTTTCACATCAGACCCAGATAGAAACTAAATGTACGACAAGTATCACTTCCACATTTTCACTCACTTCTATGCCCTAAAACCCTTCTAAAGCAATGAAATTGTTTTGAGGAGGACTTCATGAAATTTTAAATTGTCGCTTTTTGCAAGAAAACCTCACTTCTCTTTAATACTAACATTACAGTGGAAGGAAAATATGTTTTTAACATTTGTTTATTAATGTAACAACATTTTATTCTATGTCATGTTGGACCATTTGCAATGAAATGTTCACACAATAAAAGGCTGTAAAACTGAAGTTTTCATATGACAATGTTACTTGTCAGTTAGCTTTGCTGTAAGGATTGCCTTGGATTGAGTTTTTTTGGATATGCAGAGTGAATGCAGTGTTGGTTCACCTGCACCAAACAGTAGTACCACAACGAGTGGATGTTCCAGTAATAGCCCAGGCCGAACAGCGCCGTGAAGACGCCACTCGAGAGCATCCCTACAGCCAGGTAGTATCGCAGAGGCAGCCGCTCGCCAAACATGCCACTGTCAAGGTGAATATAAGATTGAATCCCTTAAATTACTGCACAAAGAGAATGAATAGAACACATGACAGGCTATGGTGGGTCTATCTCATACCTGAAAAACATGCCAATGGCATAGGCCACGAGGAAGCAGTTGTCCAGGTACCCGTACAGGTTCTGGTAATTGTCTTGGTCTAGAAAAGCGAAGGGAGAAAGATATTTAAGCCATGTCTCAAAAGCCAAGGATGCTGACTGTGAAAATGCATCCTTCATCACTGAGAAGTCGAAGGGCTCAATTGGTGTTTCCTTCCAAACCTTCGATCACCCACAATCTACCCACTAAACATTTGAATAACTGCTGAAACAGACGCTAGTTGTCAGAATAAGAATAAGATAGTCAAAGTGACTCCCAGTTAAGAAAAACTAATGATCATTTTTTCAAAAAAAAAAGGCTTTTTCATTAACAGATACCAAAGGTTAATCTGTTGTCTCTTACACAAGCATCAGCATGTTAGCAACCTCATAAAAAACATATGCATGCATGGTTCTGCGTGATTCAGCTAGTGCTTTAAAGAACCGTATTCCACACTTTGTGGAAGTGGGGGAAGACAGAGAGAGAAAAATAATGACTGAGTGAGTGAGCGCATCAGTGACAGGGATGCAACTGCACTTTCTTGATAAAAACTCACCAAAAGGAATCCAGTCGCACCAGGTGTCATTGTCTGTGATGTTGAGGTCGGCTGGTCTAATGACAAATGAACAGTTTCTGTGTAGCTGGCTCTGAAAAGACCAACAAAAAGTACATTGAAAATGAAGTTTGTAACAAAAAATTCCCTCCCCAAAAAAGCACAGGCCAACTTAACTCAGACAAGAAGTGGATCCAAAAGGAAAACATATCAATTATCCTAAGTAAACAACAAGCTGAATGGCTATCTTAGTTACCTTGACAATACTGATAGGCTTGCGGGAGAGGTGGTAGGCGGTGTAGAAGAGAAACGTAAGGAGGAGGATGAAGCCTCTGTACCTGGAGGAAACAGAAGAAGAGTGTTAAAGAAAGGAAATATTCATAAGCGTCATTTTCTCTTTGAATGAGTTAAATGTCTGCATTATTAAATCGCTAAGATTTAATTAAACACAGACCTATTAGAGAACTGTTCTCAGTACTGGCGATAGGAACCAGACCAGGCCTAAACCTACCGCACAGGACATGAAATAAAAAAAAGATGCTGCCTGATACCCGAGACCTAAAATTTCTTTCAAATACATTTATAGTGAGCTGGTACAAGAAGGGTGTTGTAAGACAAAATAGTACCCTAAACATTTCCCCCACCATTTACCACCAATATTAAACTCGGAAGACGTGTACCTTTTACTCGTGGTTTTAAATAGTAAATTAAATAGCTATATTTGTGCTGTAGACAATGTGAGTTACGAGTTTCTCTACAATTCTCTACCATCTCACATCAAACCGACTTTGTTTACAGCAATTAAATTATACAAAATAAACTAAAATCTGTAAAATTCTCCTTTATTCTGAACTTGATGTTGGCCAACTACCACTGAACAGCTATATAGCGAACCAGATAAGCAGTAAGCACATGTGAGATGAGCAAAGAGAGGTGATATGCAAAAGTGCAGTCAAGTCCTGTGAACAGAATGAGACTTTATTACAAGGTTTTACAGGAAAGCACTCTAACCACAAGCACACACAGCTGGCTCTGTGCTAACCTGTTTACGTTTCCTGAGAGAGAGGCAGCCACAGTGCTTCATACACAGTTCAAGCACTGTGTGTATGCATACATAAAGTTTATTTCTTGGACCACATCGGTGAGATTAATCTTTCTTAACCGTACAGAAACCACAGGCTGTGCATTCATTAATCAGACTGACTGTACACTGCAAATAAGACTGACAGTTAGCAATGGAAGAATCAGCTTTTTAGACTGGTGATCAAAATGAAGATGAAACCTCAGTTCTTGTTCTGTTTTAAAGGGGATTTCCACCATTTTTTCTAAATTTCTGCCTAATCAAATGTTTAGGATGTAAAAAGTCATTCGTAGTGGTTTCACGCGAAATGCTTAATTCTAGAGAAGCTTACTGTGGGAGGAGTGTTCACAGCGGTGGTGATAGGAACCTGACATCTGAAGAGCTTAATGAATTGACACAGGAAGTTATTACATGAAATGGTTATGAATACGCTGCCTGATTCCTGACACAGTGGTTTATGTTAGTTTTGTGATAAAGTTGTGGACTAAAACATATTGTTTGAAATCTCTTCATGGCAGAGAGGCACGCACAGGGCGTTCTGAGGCAAAACAGTCCCCAAAGAAAACCCTTTTTCCAGATTTACTTCTATGGCACCATTACTAACATCACGTACAGGAACTTAGAAGACATTTAGGTTCACTAGTTGTTTGGGATAGCAAATATCATGGCTATATCTGAGGTGTAGATGTTGCGACAGCTGGTTCCCATCCCCACTACTGTAAAGAAATCTGCACCAACAGGTTTCTCTACAGTTCACCATTTCACTCTGAATGGCTTTGTTTACATCTCAACAACTGAACCAAATGAATGGAACCCCCTTTCAACAAATCTGTGTAGCTGAATAATGTGTATTAAATGTCCAGCTAGTGGTTAAAACGCTCACATCTGACGTCCTGTGTGATTAGGAGACACTGCTCAATGAAAGGAATAGTGTTAGGGTTAAAATGAAAGTAGAATAAGTCGTCACTCACCAGCTATCTCTAGAGAAAGAGGTGATGAGTTTGATGCCCGGGGCCAACGGCGGTGACGTCATCTTCACAAGCAGGCCGATGTATTATTACTCGTTAAAACGGCTAAAACGGCTCAGCTAGAGCTTTGTCGACATGTCTGTTACAGCTAAGCGAACGATTTCTGATTAAAAAAGGTAAACTCTGTGAAAAACCCGTGGAAAAAAACTAAAAAAAAAAGCTTAAAAGCGAGAGTACAAAAACAAAACAAAGCCCGCTGAACAGCCTGACTGGAATTCTGACCGACCGGCGGTTTCCAGTAGTAACGTTACCGTTCAGTTCGCTCGCGCTGATCCTTCTTTCTCCCTCAGAGCTCCGAGGTTCACACGAGCCTGATCGACAAAAGCCCTAAACTGAAGTTTAAAAACAGCCGCCTGTCCGCTTAATTTAAACTAGTCGAGCTGTCTATTCTTCCCCTTTTCGCCGGGTTGGTGGAAAAGGCTGCAAGCGCGGAGCTTTCCATGTTTTGGCTGGAGGAGGTAACGTAACGTCAGTGAGTAAGAAAAGCTAAAAACGTGGACGATGTTAACAGCCCTGCTGACACACGAGTCTCTGCTGTGGTCCGTGTCCTGGTCTTTGGAGGGTCTTTATAGGTTTGGACCGAGAAGTTCCTGCTCTGCTTCGGACAGACCAGAAGACCCAGAGTAAACGACCAGGGAGTGACGTCACGCCGGGAATGTTTAACCCCCTTGAGCGCCAGGCAAAGCAAAAGTGTCCTTCTCAAAGGGGAATTCAGCCGATTTTTATTCCCCCAAAATTCTGCACAATTCCACAGAGCCCCTAAAGTGACAGGGTAATGAATGTTTAATAAGGCGTGGCCACAAATTAATATATTGAGGGCCCAAATTACTATACTGAGGCCACAAATTACTATATGTAGGTATTAAGGCCACAAATGTACTATACTGGGGCCAAGAATTACTACATCGAGGCCACACTTTACTATACTGAGGCTACAAAGGCCACAAATCTATGAAGTGAGGCCATAAATTACTGCATTGAGGCCACAAATGACTATATTTATGCTTAAAGGCCACAAATGTACTATATTAAGACTATATTAAGAACCACTATATTGAGGCCACAGTTTACTATATTGAGGCCACAAAGGCCATAAATATATATATAGTGAGGCCATAAATTAATATATCAAGGACACAAATTACTATGTTGAGGCCACAAATTTATATACTAAGACATTAAAAACGCTTTAGCTTTAGCCTAAACCCTGATTGCAAAACTATCATACAGTATCTGTGCATAATTCTCAATAAGTTTCCCTAGAACAACACATTTCACTTCAAACCTGTGAATACTTTTACATTGTAATGATATAATTGTGTAATAATTTTGGAAAATTGTTAGAAATCCTCTTTAAGTTCAACAAAATAATGTGTATTGTCGCTATCCAAAAAACCCCAAGTATCTCAATTTTTTAGGGTTTGCGTTGTGTGAAAATTTCTCCAATATTAAATAAAATAACGTTACAGTAACTTACATTGAAAGTAAAGAACATTTTTGTCCTCTCTTGTAAAGTTACAGTTTTGAAGATACTTGTTTTTGTTTGGACAGCTACGATATTTCAATACTGCATTAATGACGGATCACCATGTCCTGAATTCGTTCCCCTAAACAGACACAGAGATTTTATTGAGGTTGCACACTGACATGTAAATATAAATGAATCATTAAATGCAGTGTCATCAGACTCTCATATCTGATTGGCATCAACCCTGATGGGAGATTTTCACCACAAAGCATAATGAATGCTTTATTAATGATGACTGACTGTTGATGGCTGACTGTCACTTTCCATAACTGGGGTGTCCAGTAGGGTGGCCATGCTTCATTGCAGGGTGGCACTGGCCACCTCCAGCCACTGCTTGGCTACACCTCTGTTAACATAAACATTTAATTGTAAGGCGTTCTGGAGGAGAATGAGAGAAACCAGCTTACAGACTGCTGAAAGATTTTGAAGAGCCAGATAATACAATAATGAGATCTTGAACATTAATCACCTGAGACTGGGGTGAAATCTGTGTGACAGTGTAAACTAGAAAGTTTCTCAAGAATTGAGTTTCAATAATGTGACAAATAGAAGATGATTATAATTCTATAAATAAGAATACAATTCTGACTTGGTTTCTCTATAACAGTGCATTTCACATCAAACCACTCTGAATGACTTTGTTTGCACCTTAATGACAATGAATTATGCAGAAATTCTGAAAAATGATTGGAATTCCCCTTTGTCATTATTTACCTATTTGCCTGATAGCTAATATCAAGCCATAATAGCTACAGTTAGCTGTCGTCCTTCATCTGAGGGGAGGAAACTGGAACACAGTATATAAAAATGCAACACAGAACATTCAAACAAGCACACAGCAGTTAAATAGGCCCAGGTGGGCTATAAGATTACATGCATTCTGTTCTTTATCACGTCTTAACATATGGTGGAAAAATAGCACGACTGTTTGGGAATGTTGCCTCACTGCAAACAGTACGTTAGAGTTTCTAAAAGCACTAGCTCTCCCCTTCTATGCCCCTGCTGGAGGCCTATGGACAGTAATTTTTACTGTATCTTATCTGTATTTCACAGTAAATAATTAAATAGTAAAAATAAATAAAATACAAAAAAAAGGAATTAAAAACTGTTTTTGGAAGTCTATTTCTTTCCTGACAGCCAGAAAGTTTTGTCTGTTTTTTCCCACTGGCTCTTTCTGTTCATCTGTCCTGAAGCGGTTATTCATATTGGTATTGTGCATCATCAAAATAATGAATGAATGAATTTGTTAATTAAGAAAAAAAGACACCATAAATTGTATTAGTAACATACAACATATGCTGCTTTTGGGCAGAGACTAATATAAATCTAGTTAATTAAGGAGTAAGTTAATAGTTATGAAAAATGCAATTAACCATATTTTTTTGCTTAACAAGCTCTATCCATTCACAATCATGCTATACAGCATAAACCATGCATGGATGAATAATCCTTGACATTTATATTTAATCTCAGTTCATGACTGGAAAGATGTCTAGGGGAAAAGTCAACTTCCTAATTTCCACTGTGTTCAGACTAACATAGATTTCCTAGCTGGACTTTTGCCCAAGAACTTATTGACCTCTAAGGTTGTTGGAATCTCAGCAGCGCTCCATGTTTGAGCATGCACTTGTATTGTGCTTGAACAATGTTCACGCAGGTGTCCAAAGGTTACTTGGCCATTCTGATAAGCACTCAGAGGGGAAGGAATGGCCATAATGACTTGAAAGATAATGACAGTAGATGACTATAGAAAACAACAGATAATGGAAACAATCAATACCTATTCATTTTATTTGAGGCGAAAAAAATCACACACTTTTTACATTGTGAGCAGGTTTTATTACCAAAACTTTGTACAATCAACGATGCATCAAATAGATTTCTCAAAATACACAAAGTCACAATTACACAATAATTATATCACAAACATTAGCTTTAGCATGAACATCTCACTTCACTGTAAAACCAAAAAGAAACACAATAATTAACACAAAAATTCCTAGGAAACACCAAACACAACTTCAAGACTACACAGTGTGTCAGTTAGTGCCTTTGTTGTCTTCATAGAATGATCCCAAATTGTGCTCAGGAAAAAAAGTGACTGTGGTTATCCTAAATGGTTGCCCCTTTTTTAGCTACAGAGAAGTTGTTCATTTTTGTAGTTCAAAATGAGTCTAAATAGACTAAATCAACTTGTCTGCGCAACCTGAATAAGGACCTGGATGCAGTCTGAGTGGGTTAAGAGAAGTTTTGGGGATGTATTTGTGGAAACAGTTTGGGTGACTATTTACTTCCAGTATTTATTAGAAACATAGGCCTCGTAGCTCCAGTTCAAAACTAAAAAAGCAAAATGTTGACAACAAACATGTCTCGCCTGATCAACTACATCTGGGGTAAGTGGAAAATCACGTAAATTGATTTTTTCGCCAGTTTTTTTTTTATTTAAATCCAGGCAACCACATGCATCTTGATTCTCCTCTTTCTGTAAGCGTAATCATGTTATAATGGGAAAAGCCTGATAAACACATCAGGGTCCGAGAAAGTGGGGGTGATTGTTTAACTGCAACAGCTAACAATAATTACAAAAACAATTAAAAAAATTATTTTGTGTTCTATTTTATTTATTTATTTTTTCAAGTAGGTTTCATTTTTCATTTTATTGCAGTGAGCTAAATCGCTTCCCTTACCAACTGTTGGCAGCTTTGGGGGGTTCCCGCTAAAACATAAAAATTTGGAGGCCCAGAGTGAATATTGGTTTTCAAAAGTTTTATAATAATAAAAAAAAACTAATGCAATAATGCCTTTTATATACATTTATTGCTTTTCATCCGTTATATTTCCACCTCGGTGTGTTCGAGTCTTAAATATCAGTGTGTAGCTTGACTTTGGGGTTGACACAAGCTCATTTGCATAACGTTTGTCCTGAATGAGAGCGTGCAGAGAGAACAGGGTGTTTGATGTGTCATTTATATGTGAATACTGTCATCTCTCTCTTCACATTATAGCACATTAAGACATTCAGTTTTGCGAATTTCACAAAAAATTCACATGAAAAAATTTGGATTCCACTGTTTGTTTCGAATATGATGCCCATGTCCCAAAATCCAGACAAAGTAAACAAACTGATGCTGAGGTATTTGTAAAGCATTGTGTTATTGTGATTCTACTGTCTGTGAACCTGGCACAGGGTCAGTGTGAGGAAAAGGACTGAGGTCAGTGAATGGGGTCACTTCCGAGGCGACTGTGCATGCATGGAGGCGATTCTCCACGTGGTGCTCCTGTGGCTTGTGCTGCCTTCGGTCAGGTCACAGCTCAGCAGGACAGAGTGCAGGGCCTGAGCATAGGCTGCAGAGGAAAAATACAGAGATTAGTAACTTCAGACTCTGACCACCGAAGTGGTCAAGATGTTGGGAGGGGTTAGGGTCAGGCTCACTGGCCAGTAGTCAGAACCAGAGCAGCCTACCTGCTTCAACTGCTTACACACGCTCTTGTAAAATGCTTATAGTGTAATATTTACACTGTGGTCTAAGAGGTCAAGCAGGCTAATTGTCAAGGGCAGCTTGTTGCATTGAAGGAGGGAGTTGGTAACAGTAACAATCTAGTAATTACAATTAGTAATAACACAATAAAATTAGTAAATACAATTATTATCAGTCTGATACATTAATTATGGTCAGTAATTACAACTAATAATTTGTTGACACATTTTCGTTTGCTAGACTGTATGTGTAAAAATTAATAATAAAAGTTCTACATATTATTGCTGCAAAAATAAAAATGTTCTTGTGTAAATCGCACCTGCAGTCATTATAAAAGATGTTGGCATTTGTTGGGAAGTTTTCGCACACTGAGTAGCAACCATGATTAAGGTGCAGGAGCTTCATAAAATTCTCAGTGACAACATTATTACACAACACTCGGATGGAAAAACCTACCAAGCCCTAGCAAAGACCATAAACATCCCTGACAGTACAATTAGTTTGATAATATGCAATTGGAAAGTTCCTGGAACTACAACTAATTGTCTCTGGACAGAGATTTCACAATGTTCTCTCAGATTACTGATTAGAGAGAAGACTTAAAGAGTAAAAGCAGCAGAGACAACAGTTACATAGGGAACACAATGAACTGCACCGCAACCATCTCTGTTACTGCACCCATTTAAAGCTCCTCTGCTCAAAAAGAGGCACAGAGATCCGTGTTTAAAACCTGCACACAAGCATTTGGACAATCTACTGGTCAGACCAAACAAAAATTGAACTGTTCGGCAATAATTCAGTCCATGTTTGGAGAAAGAAGTTGCACATGATCCCATCAACCCACAGTGAAGCATGAAGGTGGGAGCATCACGATACGGGGCTACTTCTACTGGGGCATTACACATCATTGAAGGAAACATGAATGAGGCAATGTACCAGGACATATTAGAGGAGAATTTAATTTCATCAGCCAAGAAACTGAATCTGGAGAGAAGATGGATGTTGACAAGACACCGACCCCAAACCTACAGCTAAAACAGCTCCAGACTATACACTTCCTGAGGCTGTAATTGCCAACATCAGCTTTGCAACAAAGCACTAACATCATTCATTTGTGGTGTCTGAATACTTTTTTCCCTATCAATTTCATTTTCAAACATATCTTTATCTGATCCTTATAAATGAACACATTCATGTTCATTATTTATACCATTTATTCTATTTATCAGTATGAAGTCAAAAGACATTGTGTGTGTAAATTTAAAGTGGATTTATGCACTGGAGGTATATTAAATTAAAAAATTGGATATGGAGACCAAACGTTGTATACATCACTGTAACTAGATATGAGGTCACTGACGTTTGGACCTCGGCACTTTCAGAATTTTTTTCCCACGCATCTCTAATCATGAGATTCAAAGTGGAAACACTGACCATGTGGAAAAGCTTACATCCCAAGACTACGGTCAGCAGTAAGACGACTGGTTCTCAGCTGACATCAGAACAGCCCACAATCTTAATTGCACACCATGTTAAGCTCTGCATGAGAAACTATGCAAACCAGAGCAAATTAGCTTTCTAGATATACACATACATACTACAGGCTAAAATGTAAAACCTATAATTTATATTATTTAGACTACTCATAATGTTGCTAGCTATAACCTAGTTGAATCTGCTACTCAGTTTAGGCTACAAGCTCTGTAGTTGAATATAATAGATCAAATAAGAACAGAATACAAGTTCAGTTTTAAGTCACTGTATTGTATTGCCTACTCAAAACTTACTACAATGAGCATGAGAAAGTTCTCTGTTGACTAGTGTATTGATGACACAGTATGTAACGTATTTCAGAAAACAACAGCTAGATTAGGCTATATCACAGCTTATTAGCTGTATGAGTAGCCTTTCTGACATATTTTAATGTATTCTGTTTTAGTAATCAGTGACAACTGAGAAGTAAGAGAGAAAAAGAGGATGAGCACACAGAAAGAAAGAGAGAGATAGAGATAAACAAACAGATGTTTATCTCTAAACAGAAAGAGAGACATAGAGAGTGGAGGTAAACCATGCTAAATTAGTATAAATTAAAATGTCAATTGATGTCAAAACCAACGCAAAACTATCAATCAATTTAGTGTATGTCTATACACTGATCATAACATTATGACCACCTCCTTGTTTCTACGCTCATTGTCCATTTTATCAGCTCCACTTACTATATAAGTGCACTTTGTAGTTCTACAATTACAGACTGTAGTCCATCTGTTTCTCTGCATACTTTATTAGCCCCCGTTTACCCTGTTCTTCAGTGGTCAGGACCCCCATGGACCCTCACAGAGCAGGTACTATTTGGGTGGTGGATCATTCTCAGCGTGTGTTGGTGTGTGTTGCGCTGGTCTGAGTGGATCAGACACAGCAGTGCTGCTGGAGGCCTGAGAAAGGCCTGCCTCTGTTAGTTATTGTTGCAATGCATGTCAAACTTTCAGCTTATGCTACCTGGTAGCATCTGTAGCCTTTGTGCTAACAGACTAAAAAGTTCAGCAGCACAAAAAAAATATTTAGAAGCACACAGAGGAGTCCACTTGACATTTTTCAATTAAAAACAAACTGCCTTCACAAGACATTCAGTGCAGACATACTTGAGACCTGATGAAATATGCTTGTTGGTCAACGTGAAGAAAGTGGATTATAGCATTATGGAAACATTGTTTACATTAAACGACTCCCCTGGTTTGTTTAGTCACTCATCATTAAAGTGTCAGGTGTTCATGTCTTGTAAAGTGGAGGTTTTGGCGACAGAAGCTGCCCCAACAGCTGAGCTAATGCTAAAGCTAACAGTGCAATATCAGATGTTGTCGTTGTTTTTTTCAATGAGGTCACTCAGCAAATCTTAATGAAAAAATAACAAAGAATGGCAACTGTAGGAGAGCACTCATATTTGTCTTTACACCGGATGTTTTAATCACAAATGTGAGTGCTGTACAGTCCTGTTTAATCTGACTTTTGCAGAGCTCAGCAGAAAGCGCAGTGGAAACACCACAGTAGACTTGCAGGGTCATATAAAGTTCAAATGTTTTCAACTCTTGCGTGACACTCTTAAGTCAAGTCTCAGTGAGGCCAACAGAAGAGCAGCAGTGTGTCTGGCAGTTTCAGACCCTTCCCTTCTGCTATATCTTTCTGATTCTCATAAGTCTGTCTGTTAACAGTTTTGACATTGAGCTGTGAGTGTGGTCCTCCATATAGTGTAATCCAAAACACTTTCAGCCTCAGGAATTAAAAACAACACTATTCTCTAAATAATCAGATTAGCGTGTCACTAATTATAATCTTCCTCAGTAACACCTTTCCACCATTTCTTAGTCTAACAATTCTAAGTTATATACTACCACAGCCGTTCTCACTGCAGGTTTGTTCTGATGAGTTCTACCTTCACCTAATAGAGGCAGCAACATTTAAAAACGATTGTGACTGAACGAGGGGTGTGTCAATCATAATTTTGCAGTCAATGTAAATTAGGCCACTTCAGATCTCACTAAAATTTTGATCCTGGGAGCAGCCCTGGGTCATTACTATGTTGACGATATTAGGCAGCATTAATGTTTGCGATCTTTGGGTGTAATAAGGAATCAATAAGCAGCTGTCTTTACCAGACCGCAAGAATGCTGCCCACCTTTAGGATTGTTGTAGAAGACGCAGTTGTTAGCGCAGGTGTCAGGGTGCGAGTCCCAGAAGCTGTCCCCACAGCAGCAGAGAGGGGGAAGCTCCACTTTCTCCTGCTCCAGCTTCTCCTTCATCTGAGCCCGCAAGGCCTCAATGTACCTATGGACAAAAACCCCAGAAGGTACTCTTACTATACGTAGAACAATGCTGTCAGCATGCATGAAGGACTTCTTATTAAATACTATAGAGTGAATGTCTGAAGTGATGTGTCAGTCTGTATTTCTGGAGCGATAAAGAACTGCACAGTTTAGCGTTCTCCATGTATGAATCAATTCATTGCCAATGCTTTTCTAAGCTTAATGGAAAAAATGGCAAAAAATATTAATTTACACAATTTTTGCCTTCTCTCGAAAATACAGTGGTTGGCAAAGGTTTGAATTTCCCTGGTCAAATTACACGTGTTCTTGATTTTCTAAGTGAAAATAAGTTAAAACATCCTGTACAGGGTAGCAAATGAAATATTTGAACATTTTATAATATTTTGAAATTTTTGGACAGGACATAAAATATTGTAAACAAATAAACTTTTACACAGGCCACTTTGTATGCCCCCCCCCCACACACACACAATATATTAATTTCAGCAAATAAACAGCAATTGTGCAGTAAAATGTGCAGAAGTGTGTTCTTTCTAGAAAGAATGTATTTTCACTGAGAAAATCAACAAAACCGCAATTTGTTGAAGGTGCCCAAACCTTTGCCTATGACTGTAGCTGATCAGACTTGTTTTGTGTCTTAAGTCACTGGATCTACAAGACTAATGTGGCTAACAAGTAATGGAAACTTACATACACCAATTATCATTGTGCAAACTGTGTAAATCATCACACTCGCCTCACACCCACAAACCAGTTGTTAAGTCATCTGAAATGGACCTACTCGCTTATGTGGTTTCCCAGACTGTATGACCTACTGTTATCTAGAGCTTAAATTAGGATTTGGGAGGTGGTGAAGTCCTTCTCCTTTCCTTTACTCCTTCCTTTTTGACTGATTATAAGGAGTTCTAAGTATTTATATGCCTCAGAACTTCTGTTTAATTACAATGGGGTTGTAAGGCAATCGATTTTCCATATTGCTTGTTTGTCAGTTTGTGTTCTTCCACAGTTACTTTGCCTTCACTACTAAAATATTCAGGTTTATCTATACAGCAGTTAATGATTAAAAATGGATGTAGGTGGTGTGCGTCAAGAAAGGAGTATGGAGCATTACAAAGGGAGGAGATGACTGCTGGCTGTCTCGGGGTTGTCAGTAGGGAAATGGATTTTATGATCCAACAAATTAGTGCGTCATTTGCTGTTCACACAGCTCAAAGGTGCTGTAGTTCTGTTTCGGTGCGCTCTAATTTATCCACTGATGCTATTTATAAAAATGGACAAAATTATGGACACAATACATACAGCTGCTACTAGTGTTTTTAGCAATGCCACATGCAGTAACACTTTAAAGTTACTACATAAGGCATTCATGACATATTCATGAACAGTACAATTACAATTGCATAATCCTTTTGAAACATTAATTACAATCAATAATGAGTAACATGTAAAGTAATGAACTGAAAATTCACTTAGTGATGTTTAATGAGTAATTCACGATATGATCATGAACAAATTAAAATACACATTCCTTCTTTTAATGGAAAAAAAATACAATTCAGACTGTAAAAACTGTGAAAACTGTAAAAAGGTAGATGTACATTCAAAAAGCATCAAAAGCATTAATGATTGACACATACATTACATAAAATGTGAGCTTTATAAAATATTTAATTAAGTGATTAAGCACGTTGAATAATGATGAATGTAATTTGGATTATATCGAATACTTACTGTGTATTTGGTGTTTATTTCATGAGTAGATTTTAATGTATTCATGATCATATCATGGTACACATAGTTAGTGTGTTTTCAAATCATTATATCATTGCAGTTGGAACAAAACCTCTCTCTAAAATAAAACTATACAAAAACTATAAAAACTTTTTTAAACTTTTAAATGTAAGTTAATGCAACATGACTTTGTTCTAGATCATTCTGGGGAATTTCTTTTGGTCCATTCATTATAAAATTTTGACACAGTGTAAAGGGTGCCACTCAACATACTTATGTCTATTTTTATAGATAACAGTATGTCACACAGACGCAAACCACATAAGCAAGTCTATTTTGGATTACTGAACAACTCAGCACAGTTTGAGGCAAGTGTGTGCTTTAGTTATGGAGAGTGCACAGTGCTAATTGATGGGGTACAAACTTTACTTGTTAGCTACACTAGCCTCGTAACTCCAGTGCAAATCTGCAAAAGCAAACTTCAGACACTGAACAAGTATTTCTCAAATAAGGTGGTTTAGGGCAGGAAGAACTCTTTCTTCAGAGTGTTTACTAGCTAAGAATCACCTTGTGTTCTCTTTGACCTTCTTCGCTCTCTCGCTCCTCTTCACCTCCTCCTCATACTCCTCTGCCTCCAGCCTAAGCTGTTCCAGAATGAGGCGCTCCCTCTCGGCCACCTCCCTCCTGCTCTCCTCCTGCTGCCTCACATGCTCCATTCGGCTCTCCTCCTCGCTCCTCTGTCGTTCTTTCTCTGCTTTAATTCTAAATGTGGATAAATGAGCAAAAGTCCACTCATTCAAAAACATTATTTTTCTTGGTTTTAGTGTTTTCAGTAAGTACAAAGTATACATTGGAAGCGCTTTGTAGTTTAGATATCCCATTCAACATACACTGTATGGACAAAAGTATTGGGACACACGTCTTAATAATTGTGTATCATTCGGTTTCATTGTCACAATGATATAAAATCAAGCACCTAGCCATGCAGTCTGCCTTTACAAACATTTGTGAAAGAAGGGGTCGTTCTAAAGAGCTCACTGAATTTGAGCATGGTGCTGTAATAGGATGCCACCTTTCCAACAAGTCAGTTTGTGAAGTTTCTTCCCTCCTACATATTCCACAATCAACTCTAAGTGGTAGTATTGAAAATTGGAAGTATTTAGGAACCACAGCAACTCAAAGTGTCAGACCATGTAAAGTTATAGAGTGAGTCGCTGAGTGCTGAGGAGCATAGTGCATAAAAGTTACCAACGCTCTGCTGATTCAGTAACTGCAGAGTTCAAACCTCCTCTGGAATCAAGATCAGCACGAAAACTGTGCTGGGAGCTTCATGGCATGGGTTTCCATGGCCGAGCAGCTGCATGCAAGCCTTAATTCACCAAACACAATGCCAAGCATCAGACGGAGTGGTGTAAAGCACACCGCCACTGGACTCTGTGGAAACTGCATTCTGTGGAGTAAAGAATCATGCTTGTCTACCTGGCAGTCTGATGGACGAGTCTGGGTTTGGCGAATGCCAGGAGAAAGTTATTGGACTAGGTCCCTTAATTCTAGTGAAGGGAAATCTTAATGCTTCAGCACGCCAGGCCCTCTAGTCTTACATCAGTGTCTGACCTCACAAATGCTCTTCTGGATTAATGGGCAAAAATTCCCACAGATACACTCTGAAATCTTGCAGAAAGCTTCCCAGAAGAGTGGAAGCTGTTATAGCTGTAAAGGGAGGACCAACTTTATATTAATGCCTATGGATTTAGAAAGGGATGTCATAAAAGCTCCTGTAGGTGTAATATGTAGGTGTCCCAATACTTTTGTCCATATAGTGTATAAATCACACGTAAATGTTGCAAGGATACTAGTTCATTCCAGCTGGGATTTATTGAGAAGAACCCGTTCGAAAAAACGATTCATTCACAAATTGGACACAGCTGATGACCATACAAAACTTAGCACCTTTAATTTGACTATATTATAAAGATATTAGTTGTATAAGTTGGCCCAAAATTCCTTTTAATTCAAACAGTCCTGTGATGTTTTCCCAGGGGTTGCGGAATCTTTCTATTTTGGGTTTAACGCTCCAGGGGAAGTTAAACAGTCTGTTCCATACACTGCCCTTTCGGAAACTTATATGAATAATTTCTCTTACATACATGAATCACTTGTCTTACACTAACCAATAAAACATTCAAAACAAGGGAGAAGTGGGAATAGAAAATGAGGAAGGGGGTTGAAAATAGCAAACTGTATGAAATGACCACTCATCCGCACCAATGTCACAGTAAAGACATAAAGGACGACACTGTTTCTGAGCGTGCAAATTTTAATATAGACCCTGTAGTATTAAACAATCTGAAAGAGATGGGAAGTGGCATTCATGGGTGAGAAAGCTAATACTGTGCTCAATTTAAAGCACAAGTACTTCTAGAGTTTTGTGCTGGAGCTACGAGGCTAATGTAGCTAACAAGCAATGAAGCTTATTTCCAGTATGTCCTAAAGTTTGTGGCCACCTGCTCATACAGCATTTCTTCTGAAATCAGGGGTATTAATGAGGAGTTCGTCCCTCTTTGCTGCAGTAACAGCCTCTACTCTTCCAGGAAAACTTTACACTAGATTTTGGAACATTGCTGTGAGGATTTGATTGCATTCAGCCAAAAGTACATTAGTGAGGTCAGGTACCAATGCTGGATGATTAGTGCTGGAACCGTCCAACTCATCACTTCATCACTCCAGAGAACACAGTTCCACTGCTCCACAGCCCAATGCATGGGGCTTCATACCCCTCCAGCTGAAGCTTGGCATTAGGCACGGTGATCTTAGGCTGCTCATGTACGTCCGATTCTATTTGTAATGCTTTTCTATGTAGATGATAAAGCACTGTGTGTGCAACTGAGTGCCTGTGCCTGCAATGGGTGCACCTTAAAGTATTTCAACTGACTAATGAGAAGAAGTGTCTGAATATTTTTAGCCAGTGTTCCTCACTATTTAGCATCATCAAATACTTCCCTCAAACCACAGAGTTATTAAGCAATCGATTTGCTTTTGTGGTTTGACACTGTATAACACACTGTTATCTGTAAAAATGGAAAAATACATCGCATAGCTAAAAACAGTAGAGGCACACATCTTTAAGCATGAATTCTGGTTGTACTTTTTTGAAATAACTTTAAACAACATGTCCTGACTGATTGACTGCATATCGTGTAATTCCGATTCGTAAAACAATTTCTTTACGGTAGCACTGATCTGAACCAGGTAGCTTGCTCACCCATGAATCAAGCTTCCTGGTGTTCCCCCTGGTGAACAAACACAAGTGTAAGTATAAGCGAATGTGTCACCTTGCAATTCTTCTCAGGTGTTTCCTTTGTCGCTGGTGCTCCTTGACCTGCTCCCGCTCAATGTCCATAAAGAGGCGACGATACATGAGGAACTGAGACTGTCTCTACAGGAACAAACAATACTTCAGCATCTGAGCCTCTTCTACATAGAATAATTCAGCTTCTCATGTTTGGAAAAGAAGGGTTGCATGTGTGATCCCAAGAGCACCATACAACCACAGTGAAGTACGAAGCTGGGAGCTGCATAATATGGGACCATTTCCCTGTAAGCGGTACATGCCATTGAAGGAAACATGAACGGAGTGATGTACCAAGATATTGGAGGAGAATTTAGAGTCATCGGCCACAAAAAGGGAGAAGATGAATATTTCAATGAGACAATGACCCAAAACATACAGCCAAAATAACTCAAGCCTAGTTTCTAAAAAGGTGAAGGGCCTTACATGGCCTTGCCAATCTCCTCACTGTAGACTTACTAATGTGGTTTCTGGTGATGATATCCTGTTACCTATTACTGTTACAATCTGATTTTCGTACTACTGTCCATTTGTATAGATAACAGCATGTCATACAGTGTCAGAAACCACATTAGCAGCTAGCCTAGCAGCTCCAGTGCAAAACCAAAGAAGCAAACTTCAGACCCCAAACATGTTTTGGTTTGTTAACATCCTAAAGCAAAATGATCTCCCCAATGATTAAACTCAAGCCAGCAATAGGAATGGTGTAATTACTGTCTTATACATGAAGTATTGAAATGAGAAGAACAGAGTAGAGAAGCGGTCTTTTATATGATGATGCAGTGTGGACCTGTCTCTTTAGCTCCTCTTCATCCTCTCCTGGCCACAGCACCTGAGTGGATCTGTAGTCACTTTTGGTGCTTGTGGGATGTGGCTCTTTCACCAACCCCCCACACACCTAAACAAAAAGACACAGAAGCAGGAAATATGTAACAATTAGTGATTTTGCAGTTGCTGTGATCCCTGTTTTCTTCATCTGTGTCCTCAGGAAAGAAATGGCCTGTACAGTCTTAGCATCCTGTGCAAAAGTCAGAGATCATTCTTCATTTATTAATACCCAGTTAAATGGCCATTAAATACAAATTATACATTTTCAGTAAACAGATATAGATTTATAGATATAAAATAATCCACCTGCACAAGGAATAAGAAAATCAAAGGAAAATAAATGAAAAAACAGAGGTGTTTCCAAAACTGTAAGTGAAAACCATGCAAGACCTGGCAGACCACCAAAACCATCAACATCAGAAAAACAGAACTTAAAGCTTTCATCTTTGAGAAGAGGAGAAAATTAAGCTCCACTCTTGATTCAGATCTCAACAGTCTGAAAGGATGCATTGCTGTTAAGAAACTGCAACTGAGAAAAGATAACAGACAAAAAAGAAGAGCATTTGTAAACCAAACAAAGAAGCTGCTGGTGTTTTCTGAACAATGGACTGACCACCCCACAGTCCAGATCTTATCATCACTGAATGTGTTTAGGATTACTTGGATTGTGCTAAGCAGAAAATGCAACCAAATTCTAAGACTGAACTTTGGAGGTGTGGAAAAATATCACTGCAGATTTCTTTGAAAAACTGAAAGCAAGTCTTTTGAAAAGAATGAAAGCTGTAATGAAGGCAAAGAGCAGACAAACTAAATATTCAAACTATTCAGGCTTCGTTTTTCTGTCAAATATGTTTTCTATGGTAATTTTCTGTTAAATATATGTTTTACATATTAATTTTCTGTTACATATATGTTCTCTGCTTTTTTCCTGATGCTGAAAAATTAAGATCTGAATGGTAATTTTGACTGTTGTGACTGTTGTGTTGTGCTCTGTTCTCGTATATACCCTTTGTCTTAAACTATACTTAAAGACCCTCTGTAACCTATTTGAGTCACTGTCTTAGTAGGACTTCCCTGCATATGACTGTATTATAAAGTACCTTCAAACATCTCACCTACATTGGCTTTTCTTCCACAACAGAGGCCGATTAGTATTATGCAAAAATTACATTGTATGGACCCCACTAGCCTTCAATTATTGTACGCCAAGTTTGGACATTTTTAGTGTTTAGACTAAGCAGTAGCCTTCTGTTTTTCTATTGAAAATCTTAGTACATCTCTACTGCTAATGAATCAAGCATTTAAAATGATGCAAACATGTAATGGTCTTACAGATGCCTTTATAAAGTTGAGCTCAACTAAAACTTACCGCATCATTCTGAAAAGTGACTGTTTTGCTACTGTGAAATGGACGATCGTGCTGCCCTGCTAACAGAATCTCTTCTTCCTCTCCAAGTCCAGCTTGGTTTTCTTGATCGTCTTCATCTTCCTCTTTCTCATCCTCTATTACTTTCCTCACTCGTAATACCGGCTTCTGCAACAAATAATCACAAACAGCACTGATCTATCTGGAGGATCAATGTAACAGATATATCCTTGATTAAACCCCTTCCTTAAGTTCAGTTATTAATAGTAAAACGTATTATTCAGTAACTGCTATGAATCTACTATGTTATGTAATTGTGAGAGTGAGGAATGAAGTGGGGGCCACACACAAGCTTTTAATGCCATTTCACACCACACGCTTTTCTGAAATGGCTTTTAGTCGTCCATCCGATGGAACAGATATGCTTCCTCTTCAATTAGTGTTTCAGTCCACACCAACTAATGCTGCATTTTTATGACATATGATGATACGTCACATCTGATGTAAATTCCGGGTCAGGTTGTATGGGATTAAAAGGGAATTCCAACGATTTTTCAGAATTATAGAGAAATCTACAAACTCAGATTACTTTACAGTGGTGGTGACAGGAACCAGGGGTCATGACGTCTATAACACCAATCTAGCCATTTTCCTTGGGAACTATCTTGTCTTATAACGCCCTGCATGTACTGCTCCACCATACATTAATTTTAGAATTATGTTTTAGGCCAAATTCTTCTCTCTAAAGTATCATAAAGACTTAAGCTCTAACTAAGATGAATATTCAGAATTCCATATTTAAAACATGAGGATTAAAAAGAGAATATAAATAGATAATTATGGCATATTATTCATCATTTTATTCAGTTCTTGTTCACATCAAACAAGAAATATTGAATAAAACATCTAAAAATATCTTTTGATCTTAAATCCACATTGCATACTTTATTCATGTATATAAAATAGCAAAAGTGAGTACTTTTGAGTGCTAGAGTAGATGACAAATTACTGAACTCACATCTCTTGTTGGAGACACTTTCCATATTCCCCCCGGCAGCTCTGATAGCTCCTCTCCCTCTCGTACAGTTTGACAGGCAGCCAGTCGGAGTCTCACCTGCTTCATCACTCTGCTAAGCTGTGAAACCAAAGCAGGATAATAAATAAATAATCAGAGAACTCAAAGTGAAAGCAAACAGCATGCTTTCCTTATGGAATGGATACAAATCATCTTCCACTCTGCTCAATTCATCTTATTCTGGTGCTTTTCTTGTTTTTTTTTTTATATATTTTTAATAATAATAATAATAATAATTGTTATTATTGTCATCATTGTTGTTATAGCCCTTACCTGGTGGGTGTGCTGATTAGCAGTTTCAGCGCTGGGGAACTCTTGAGTTGTAACTGAGCGTGTGTTGAGGCTGCAGATGGCTAGCTCCCCCTGTGGCCATGATGGGAACAGGCTCTTCCGAGGCGTAAGGCGCTGGGCTGCATCACTGCTTTGTTGGACTACTCTGCCCTCCCTCTCAGCCTGGACACAAACACACAACAGACTCTGACCAAATGACTTGGAGTCTGTATCACATTAGAGTGACACTGCAGCAAAATATCATGTTTACACAGGTTTAGTCAATCAGCCAAGACATGCTTGGAACCTTATTTATAAAACATACTTAGATACGTGTGCATACATATAAATATATTAAAATTAAAATACAGTAAGTATATAATATAGTAAATATATAATATAGTAAGTATAAACATAATACATTTCTATATAAATATCAGCATAAATAAAAAAGTATAACTATACACATTATACTAAATTTGGTCAGGTGTATTTGGTTATTGTTATTCCTTTGGTGTATGTGATAATGCTGTGACACACCACTGCTATATCAGCCCTCGCCTGCAAGATTTCACTCAGGTCACCTGAGCAGTTGCAACGTATGTTTAAGTAAAATTATCACTGCCCCAGTAAGAATTTCCTTTGCCCCTCTATTCCTTCTGCCCTGGTGCTGGCCCTGACCAAAACATGCAGGGCCAGGGTACTCCAGGACCGGCTTTGGAACCACTGCTCTACATCAATCATGGACGTCTACCTGAACTGCACTGGTGTTTTACCTGTTCTAATAGACCTGGTTGATATGATGTGATCATTAGCTGCAAAAAGTGTTTAGTACTACAAAAAACACTAATAATAAGTTATACGCAGCGCAGGTGGGCCTCAAGGACTGGATTTGGGCAACACTGCTGCCCAACTCTGCAGTCCAGCAGAGTTTGGGGATTTCCCTCCTCAAATACACCTGAATCAACCCATCAAGTAATTCACAGGTTCAGTAGGTGTGGGTTTTGAACTGCTCCCACTCAGCTGCCTGGGGCTTTACCATTTCATAAGACCTCTGTAGCTGCTGTTGCTTGTGAAGCTGGGCCTGTCGGGACACTCGCTTGCGCACTGCATCCTGAAAACGCTGCAGGCTCTCCTCCTTCTCCCTGCGCACCTCTTCATGGACCTCTTCAGTGAGCCTGGCAAGAACCTGCCATAAAGACACAGGAAAAACTCACTGACTGACAAAGGATGGACAGTCACTGGACTTCATAATAAGGGAATAATTTGATTGAAAAATATTATCAGTTCTCCCCTTATTCCAAATGTAGTCTCAGCCAAGACAGTGTGGTGTGAAATTTGCCTCTTTAGGTCTGCAGTGGAGCTATGAGGCTAAAGTAGCTAACAAGTAATGAAAGCTTATGTACACTGATTAGCACTGTGCAAATAATATGTCTAAATTATCACACACTTCAAACTGTGTGAACTGGTTAAGTAATTTTGAATGGCCATTCTTATATTTCTGACACCGCTAAGACAGAATTTATCAGTGCATTCACAATAGTGGTGATAGAAGCCAACCACAGAAAGAATATTACTGAAAAGGTTACACATGTATTGCCTGATGCCTGGGACATTGTTTTACCTTTGTTTTGAGATAAGGTTTTAGCCTAAAACACATTTTATGAATCCATTTAAGCCGAAGAGGTATATGTAAGCCACTGTAAGGCAAAGAAAACTTTTGTTCTTATCATCACCACTTTATAGAAATCCTGAGCCAGAACGTTTCCCTTTAATGAACCATTTCACATCAAACCACTTTGAATGACTGTTTACACTGTCATGATTAATTTAGCCAGAAAATTTGAAAATTCGGTGTAATTCCACTTTAAAGGTATACAAACACACAAAATGCCAGAAGGGGGCGCTAGCAATAAGTGAGACAGACAGATGTGTGCATGAGTGTCTTTCAATCCAGGACAGTGAGTGGCCACTAAACCACAACCTTTTCCTCTACATTACTTAGGGCTGAGCAATAAATGGGATTTTATTTTCAGTTACGATTTTGCCGTCCAATGATTATGAAAACAAGATATTAGCATTCCACAATGATGCTCTCATTTATTTTTCTAATTCATTTTTTATTTATTATCTTTATATGTTGGTAGTTTTCAGTAAGTTGTAGAAATGCATTACAACATAGTTGATCTTATTTATTTATATCATGTATTTAATTATATGTATACATTTAAGCATTATCTATTTTATTTATCTCTTTTTTTTACATTTATTTTAATTTATTTTTCAGTTAATTTATTTTAAAGTTTAAAGAAAATCCACTGTTAAGAAGATAAGTTCATTAAATACATGATGTTTCCAAAGTCAATGATTAATGGTGTTAAATACTTGTCACTTCAATATTGACCATTATATATATATATATATATATATATACATATACATATACATATATATATGTGTGTGTGTGTGTGTGTGTGTGTGTGTAGATACATAGATAGATACATAGAGAGATAGATATTTGTTGTTTGTTAAAGTTGCTGAAAAGTACCGTATGATTTTAAGGCTGTGTGTATATAACAATCATATATAATCACTTTTAAGACACAGGTTTTGTAGTTAATCAATCTAATGGACTTGTAGGCTCCTCACCGCTGGGTGCTCCTGCCTCTCGGCTCCAGTCTCCACCCAGGCTCCCACTGGGACCACAGGCGGGTTCCTTTCTGCCAAAACCTTGATTTCTCTTGTCTTTCTTGAGCTCAGCGTCTTCCCTCCATCTTTAACTCGACTCTTTAGGCTCTTTTCGCTTCTTCTGGCGAGTCTCTGCTCACTCATGCTGCTGTAGTTAAAACTGAGCCGCCATCTCTCTGAGCTAACTGACTTCCAAACAGGCTCACGCTGAAGATCAGCGCTTATCCTTCCTTAATGTGTCAAACACATCACTGTAACCTCACTGAAGCCTCCGAGCAGTGAATGTGTCTCTCGGGTCATTTGAACTGGTGAACATCTAAAACCGTTTCAATGATTTTTCGCCGCTCTAACTGATTCGAAACTTTGTTGACAGTGACGCCACCAGCATCGCAACCACCAGTGCCCGCCCCCCTGCGAATTCTATTAGCTGTTTGTGGAAATTGCGAAATCTCATTGGTCGTCTTTCTTGACACTCACTAAAGGAGCGCCCTTTCACCACGCCTTCGGTGCTCGTCCTCAGTTTTGTCCTAAGAGAAAACACAAGCTGCTGCACGTTAGTTCCTGCCTAACTTACCTTAACATAAACAAAGAAGAAAGAATAAAAGAAACTGCCTGCAGTTTTTGTTTATTTTTTAATTATTTATTTTTAAAGTTCCCGCTCTATATATTTTATATTTTATACACATATTATATGCATATGTGTGCGCTCAAAAGTTGGGAATCGCTTGTCATATTAATATTCACTGTTATTGTATTCGGCTTTAATTTATGCAGTGTTGATTGTAATAATATAAGCAAAAGGTATTTTTTTAAAGAGTTTTATTCAATATTTTGAATTAAGTTTCTTGGGAACACAAAAGTTAACAAATACTAAATAATATATAGTAATTACTTATTTATTTATATATATATAGTAATTATTTATTTATAGTTATTTCCTAAGGACTGCCTGAGATGTTTGCCACATTTTGAATAAGAAATATTCTAGATATTTATTTTATTACAGCTTCATTTTCAATGTTCTACAGCTTTTTCTGTTATGAAGGAGTCATCTACAGCTCTGTTCATCATTCTGCACACATCTAAAATTGATTTCTGAATTTTTTACAGCATCCCAAAAATTAGAAATATGGGAAGAAATCATTTCATGCATTTATTTGCAACATTTTTAGAATGATTACTTGAAACAGTGATCTTATATCTTTGAACTGTGATTCCAAACTTTGAAATAACCTTGTGTTTTTAAAGTGCCTATATCATGCAAAAACAAATTTTCCTTGATTATTTATTTATTTATTTATTTATTGGAATAAAACAGTTCAATGTAATATATAAACATTGTTGAAGGATCAGAACATACCTTTCACTGCCCAGACCATACAGAACATACATTTGGAAACTGAACTGCACAAACAGCCCATTATGAATTTTTCAAACCATTTACACAAATCCACATATTTTACCTATAGCAGTTTAGCCCCGCCTATTCATGCTAAAATTATAGAGTGTTTCAGCTTGGACTGTTTTTTGAATGAAGCGCCATACGTGGGAGCCAATCAGAACAGAGCTCATCTAAACGTATCAGTCTTAAAGGCACAGTAACAAAAACAGTAAGAAAAATTCTAAAGGATAGAGAGAGATTGGACGTGTAAAAATTAATAATGACTGTTTTTTGGTAAATAAACCCACACAAATGTCATAAATGGACCTCAGGTGGAAAAAATAAAATGCAAGAATAATGTAGGATATGGGAATAGAAACACATTCACAAATCCAGGGAGTGACTGCAGCAGACAAGTTTGGATTCACTTGCCATATTAGCGACTGTTGTTATTTTATGTAGAGTAATAACTTATATAGCACAGATTTAAACATTACAGACTAGTCACCAAGAGGTATTTTTGTTTTTTTATTTTTCATTTAATTATTTCAAGAATTCTGTGAACAAGTTATTAATGATAAACAATGTGCTGTAATTATCTACTTACATAAATTTGTCATGTTGTCTGCCTTAAGATTTGATCTGAAATATGGTGAATTCTGGATAACAATTTTATCAGCACTTAATGCTTGATGCTGTACAGCTTTCTCCATGTTGCTTATTAGAATCAGTTGGTTTTGTATTGTTGAAAAAAATGATTTCAAACATATATATATATATATATCCAGTTGTTAAAATAAATGTGACCCTTAAGGCTTTGTGAATGCCCCGTGTAGGCCCATGAGCCTGAGAACTGTTTCCTTTTTAGGTGCTACAATCCCTTGTGATGACCCATCTCTGTTCCATTAGCTATTTGTGTTACTGTCTCCAGCTTATACATTTATGTATGGGCATGAATCAACACGAGGACCGTCCGCTCCCTGTACAATGCTCGCTCTCAGCGCCTGTGTCCACTCACAACAAGGGGCCTTCTGTCCCTTTGGTATGATTCAGCAAGCGCATTCTCGCAGAGACAGAACAGCATGAACTGTATTTCCCAGCTACAAGTTACATAATGCTCAGTGTGCTGTGAGGAACAACACTGCAGACAACACTGTATGTTTGCAAAACCAAATTATTTATTTTCTTCCTATCTCTAGACATACAAACCCAATTTCAAAAGTCAGGACAGGTAAAATGTAAATTAAAATAGAAAGCTGTGATTTATAAATGCATGTTGACCTGTATTTGAATTGAAAACAATACAAAGGCAAGATATGTAATATTTTACCTTATTCCAAAAAAGTTAGGAGATGGCAAATTAAGCAATTTTAGGAAATCTGTGAAACAGTGCATAATATCATCAAAAGATTCAGGAAATGCAGAAATCTCAGTGTGTAAGAGCAAGGCTTAAAACCACAAATGAACGCCTGTGACCTTTGACCCCTTAGCCAGCACTTCATTAAAACAGGCATGCTTCTATCACCACATGGGCTCAGGAATACACTGACAAACAGTTGTCAATAAACACCATCCATCGCTGCATCCAGAAATGCAAGGATGTACTGTGCACAGTGTAAGCCATTTGTCAACAATGTCCAGAAACGCTGCCGATTTCTCTGGGCTCAAGCTCATCTGAAATGGACTAATGCACAATGGAAACGTATTGTGGTCTGACAAGTCAACCTTTCAGATTATTTATGAAACAATGGACACCATGTTCTCTCTGCCAAAGAAGAAAAGGCCAATCAAAATTGTTACCAGCGTAAGCTCGAAAGCCAGTGTCAAACATGGTATGGGGGGGGGCGGTAGTAGTAGTAGATAACCTGTGCATCTGTGAAGGCATCATTAATGCTGAACACATTTTGGAGCAACTTATGTTGCCTTCTAGATGATGTCTTCTTCAGGGATGTCCATGCTTATTTCAACATGACAATACCAAGCCACATGCTGCACAGGTTACAATCAGAGAGTGCAGGTGCTAGGTGATCTGCAGGTTCCATTGAAAATGTGTGTCTTACTAAGCTCAAATTATGACAACAAAAGCCTGTAAAGTTGCACAGCAGACAACTATATAAAATTTCCACTTTCAAAACTGGATTATTTGATGTCTTCAATCCACAAACGATTATTAAGTGCTATTAAAAGGCCCCAACTGTTTTAGAACGCGTTGCAGGAATCAAATTTGGAATGAGCGAGTACTTACAAAAAAAAAAAGAAGTTTACATGATAAAACAAAATATATTGTGTTTTTGTATCAATACATGTCAAATAAAATTTACTAATCACTGCTTTTGTGCTTTTGTGAGCACTTCACATACTAGCCTTTTTGATTAGATTAAAAAGATAAAGAGAACAAACGATGTTGTGGTTCCCAAGCATTAAAGAAGAAAGAGTGCAATTAAAAGTATAGTAATGTGCAAAGGTTAGAGACCACCATTCATTTATTATTCATTCATTTATTTATTAAACTTCCAGTCAAAACAGCCATTAAGTACAAGTGATCATTTTTTCAGGATATATTTTCCAGTCAAATGGCCATAAACCCCTTTTTCACAGTAGTCATAAAATGCCATTTCTGCATATTTTCTCTTTAAGAACATTGGTAGAACATCTTTTGTTGTAAATGTGTTTAATATACAGTACAAAACCACAAGTGAAGTGGACCTTTGTCTTCATAGGTGAGCAACCAAGTGAATATATGCATTCTTATTAAACAAAGAAGCTTTCGGTGTTTTCAGAACAATGGACTGTCCAGACATTCCTGAATGTGCTGATTACTCGGACTGTGAGAGGCAGAAAATGCAACCAACTTCTAAGACTGAACTTTGGAGGTGTGAAAAAAATGAAAAGCATGTATCTTGAAAAGAATAGAAGCTGTAATAAAGGTAAAGTGTGGACACTTTCATGTATGGTCTGCCATTTTCAAACGAATATCTTGTTTTAAAGGCCATGTGGACTGGAATTTAAGTAAATGATGGCTGGTCTCTGACTTTTGCACAGTGCTGTATCATTTTGATGTTAAACGAATAATGAAAATGAATACCATTTGATGGTAAATATCATATAATCACTGTGTACTTTACAGGTGAAGGAAAACATTCTAGTAAAAACTAATAATGTAACAAGATTTCCAAGCATTTTTTCATCATTTATATCGGTCCATTCATAATGAAGTGTGCACACAATATAAAGACCTGCAATTAAAGTAACAAAACAGGGAGTTACAAGGTTTTGATATGATACTGACAATAAGAATAACCTAAAATAAAAGGTACATTAAACATAAACAGAAATTTTGTTTTTTCTGTAGCAATTCTTTATCCTCTTATTTCAATATGTGGACAAATATGAAAGAAAATACAGATACTGGCACGCATGCAAAGGAAAATCTCAAGTATTTTGTCTATTTACATATTTACATCACATTATCTATCCCATAATCAAGTACTGACCTTGGCATAAACTAATGTATGTCGCTGAATGATCATAAATAAATGAGCTAACTGGCAGCTGTTCTAATACATACATGAAAAGAAAATTAAGACACTGGTATGCATCCAAAGGAAAAACACATGACTTATTTTGTGTATTTACATATTTACATCTATCCCATTAACTGAACTTGCCATTGGCAAAGTACACTAAAACAAAAGAAGTATTTCTCACAGCCTACAGTTCATTACATTGCAACAATTCTTTATAGAGCCTATTATTTCAATATGTGTGAAAAAAATGAAAAGAAAATAAAGACATTGATGTGTGACTCAAGTATTTTGTGTATTTACATATTTACATCTGTCCTGTAAATGAGTACTGAACTTGTTGCCAGCTCATTTTTGCCATCGTAGTCTTAAATAAATGAGCTAATGAACAAATTAAAGGGCCCATATCACGGAAAACCTATTATTAATTTTCCTTCACTTTTTTGTCCCATTTACATCCATACGGACCTTATACGAACACTACACTGCAAAAATGGCTTGTTTTAGATTCACTGTTTTTGTGATGTCACAAAAATCAATACATTTACATTTACCCATTTATTCAACTTACAGCAGTTTAGCTCCATCCATTCATGTTGAAGTTATAAGGAGTGTTTCAGCCCAGTGTGCTTTTCAAACAAGGCACGACACAAGGCTCCCAATCAGAATAGGGGTTTACATAGACGAGTTTTAAAGGCACAGTAACAATTTTTTTCTTTGTTATATACTTATGACTTCTGTTGGTACATAAACCCACATGAATGTCCTCAGTGGATCTCAGGTAAAAAAAATACATATAAGAAAAATGTAGGACATGGGCCCTTTAAAGACACTGTTGTGCATCTGAAGGAAAACCTTATTTGTATTTTGTGTATTTACCTATTTACATCCGTCCCCTATATAAGTAATGAACATGCTGCTAGCTCATTTATGTCACTGTGGTCTTAAATAAATGACCTAATGAGCAACAATTCTTATAGGTCTCACAATTTCAATATGTGGGAAAATTAAAGGGCCCATTTCACGGAAGAGCAATTGTCCTTCACTTTTATGTGTTAATTTAATAACATCCATATGATCCACACATGGACCATACATATTAGAGAGGGCCTGTTTTGAGTGAGCTGTTTTTGTGATGTCACAAAAATCAACTAATTTCTATCTATCTGTCTATTCAGCCTACAGCACTTTGTCCATTGTCATTGCAGTTGAAAGTGTTTCAGCCTGTACTGCTTTTTGAACCAGACACAACAAAGAGCAGCCAATTAGGATAGAGGGCATTTACATATACCAGTTTAACAAATGCAGTATTAAAACTGTCCCTTTAATTTTGAGGGAGAAAGAGGTCAGAAAATGTTCATATGCAAATTAATTATGACTTTTGTTGGTAAACAAATCCACACAAACGTCCTAAGCGGATCTCAGGTAAACAAATAACACGCAAGAAAAATGTAGGATACGGGCCTGTTGTGTAAATAAAGATACTGGTGTGCGTCTGAAGGAAAAATCTATTTGTATCTTGTGTATTTACATATTTACATCTGTCCTGTAAACAAGTCATTAGTTCATGTGAAGGCTTTGTATCCCTATGAGCCTTGGCAGAGGTGGTCGGGGTCAAAGGTTGTTCAGGTTTTAGGCGAGCCACTGCTGCTGTGCTCTGATTCAGGGGTGGGTGGCCGCCGGAGGCTGGGAGGCGAGGGTGCAGGGGGTCGTGGGGAGGGACGGCCGTTGCTGCGGCTACGGGGTGGGGAGGGGGTCCCGGGGCTGTGGCTGCGGCTGCGGCCCTGCCTGCGGTGGTAATGGTGCACAGGTGGAGAGTTGGTGGGGGTGCGGGGGTAGCGGCGCGAGGAGCGGGATGGAGGGTCTGGAGAGCGGGATGGAGGGGGAGCCGCGGAGCTGCTGTAGCTTGGGGGGCTTACGCTGCTGCCGCCGCCGCCGCCGTTGGAAGTACATGTTTTGCATATTGAAGCTGGTTCTTCATCTGGAGGGTCCTAAGGGCAGACAGGACCACATTAACTCCCACAGCAAACAATCTGTCCTTTAGGCTATTTTCAGACAGTTACTGCTTATGAGGAACAGCACTTGTAGGCTGCAGTTTGTTCAATCACACAAAAATATCAATAGTATGTGGGCATATCGCCCGTTCACTGTTGCTGTAGCTTTTCATTTAAAGGAATACTTCAGCATTTTTTTATGTGTATCAGCAGTATCTCTGTGGTTATCACTCAGTAGGAACCCTTAGACTTCTAGGCCTTCACAGAAGATCTAAGGATTTCTGTGAAATACAAAAAAATATGTGTGTAATTTTTTGTTGATTGTATTTAATATAATATTCATGCTTTTTGTATTCAAATTCTGCAAGTATTGTAGTAATACTCTGATTTCATTATTAAAGCTGCACTATGTAAGTTTTGGGGATTTGGTGGAAATGTGTAATTGCACAAAACGTGGAAGAGCATGTTATAATGTCGGTTGTGCTTTGTACCCTTCCCTGAACAGATGAATCTGATAATTGTGAGTGCATTGAAGGAACATTCAAAGAATTTTAAATTACTATTGGTTACTATTACACTATTATACTATTATACACTATTATACTATTAATAAATTACTATTTCAGGTTTTACAGGCGACTCACAGCAGCTTTTGCCCCATATTTTAGCATGTTTTTTTTCTGACTCAGTAAAGCTACTTCTTTCAATTTTAAAAACAACAACAACAAAAAAGCTTAAATAGTGCAGCTTTGAGTTTTGGCTGGAAAAAAGGGTTAATTTCTCGAAACGTTTGCATTTCTGGCAAAGAAACACAGCAGGATATAAACAGCTTTTTGTACAAAATTGGTTCTACTTAGCCCAAATGCAGTTGATCAGCCAAGACATCTTTGGTGTTTAAATTTTGCTTCTTAGATTAGCGCTGAGCTACAAGGTATTCAAGCCACACGGTGAACACAGTTTTGTTCGTTTTTATAGTTCACAGTAAGTCATGCTGTGCACTAAACTACACTGTCAAGTCTGCAAGACCTTAAAGAAAACCTGGATGTGGGTGGAGAAAAATTTTGGGGATGTATTTATCTGTTGACTTTTAGCATTAGCAATGTTAGCCTCATAGCTTCAGTGTCAGACTAGAGGTGCAAAATTTGGACACCAAAAAGTCTTGGGGTAATATCTGGGGTAAATGGACAACTGCGTAAATGTGATTTTTCATTAACCATTAGTGCAAAGTGATAAAGAAAACACACCAACTTAGAAATGCTTTGAATGTAACGTATAACGCTCTGTTTTGGCTCGGAAGTGGAAGTCGGAATGGATTTATGTCATTTTTTGACCTCTGCACGCTTGAGCTACAAAGCGGGGAAAAACACAGACCCCTCCATGAAATCAGGTATTGTTAGTAACAAGCTAGCCAGGTAACATTAATGATATGAATGATAACTTTAATGCTCACAACGTATGTCTTCTCAAAACAGGGAACTTTATAATTAATGTTATAGACTTAACTAACTTCTGTGTCTGTATGTTGGTGGATCTAAAGCAAATTCTACTATAATCCCATTTAAAAGAAGAATTGTGGCTCTTTATTCCTTTTGAACAACGTAAGCAGCCACGTTGACTTGACCTCATATGCAAAGTTTGAAAACAGCTCAATTTTCCGATAAAGGAATTCCCAGTTAAGGGGGCAGTTTCTTTGATTTTTTTCTAGCCAGAGAAGGAAAATTCCAAGGGCTACAGTTACAATCTTCAGTCAAATGCAGCATAAAACCAGTAAAACTATATGTATTAGCATCCATACCAGATGCACAAATGTAAAATGAAAGCTCCTTTGTGAGAAATATTGTCCTCTACAGTTGCAGAGATGCTGGATGAATCACTAGCTGCATCATAAGTAGTCACCAGCAGCATTGAGGTAATGTGCCACTTATCCACTCCACCGGCTATTCCTGGACATAAGTGTGTTAAACTGAGAGGTGTTGACTTAATGAGTTTGATGGTGATGTCACAGTACCTTTTCTTTCAGGATGTAAAGTGATACTGGATTTCTGCGTTCATGGTCGGTCATTATCGGGATGACATCATCTAAAAAACAAAATTGCATACCAATATATAGTTGAAATATACAACTTTGAGATATAGCTATATGTGCATGGCAACAACCACATATATTGGTTCTACACTTACTAAAGGAGCTAATGCTAATGCTCAATACTAGCACAAGAACAATTAACTTATTGTCTATTTATGAAACCAGTTTGAGACGACTTTTGCTTTGTGACATATCATGCTGGAAGTAACCATTAGAAGATGGACAAATTGTGGCCCTGATAGGATGTTTGATTGGTATTAATGGGCCCAAATCTTGCCAAGAACCCATTCCCCACACCCTTACACCACCCCACCAGTCTGGCCTGCTGAACAAGACAGGTTGGGTCCAACAGGTTCATGCTGCTGGCACCAAAACAGACCAGGCTATGTTTTTCCAGTCTTCAACTGTCCAGTTTTGGTGAGCTTGTGCCCACCAAAGCCTCAGCTTTCTGTTCTTGGCTGACAGAAATGGAAGCCGACGTGGTCTTCTGCTGTTGAAGCCCATCTGCCTCAAGGTTGTGCATTCAGAGATGATTTTCTGCTCACCACAGTTGTACAGAGTGGCTATGTGAGTTACTGTAGCCTTTCTGTCAGCTTGAAACAGTCTGGCCATTCTCAGCTGACCTCTCTCATGGACTAGGCAATTCCATCTGCAGAACTGCTGCTCACTGGATGTTTTTTCTTAATTGCACCATTCTGAGTAAACTCAGACCAGCCCGTCTAGCACCAACAACCATGCCACGGTCAAAACCACTGACATCACATTTTTCCCCATTGTGATGGTTGATATGAACATTACCTGAAGCTGCTGGCTTGTAGCTGCATTATTGTATGCACTGCCACATGATTGGCTGATTAAACTGAGTAGGTGTACAGAAGTTCCTAAAAAGTGCTTGGTGAGTGTATTTTAAAACATCACATGTATTGTGCATTAGGCCTGGGTGATTGGGCAAAGTAATTGTCGATGATGGACAAGTAGCCCTTAATTTACTTTTGTGAATTGAATTGAAAGTGAATGCAGACGTGCTTTGGAACCACAGCCTCAAAGTGACTTGCTGCAGTAGAAAACCTGATGTGAAATGACTGAAAGCCAACGTAGAGCAAGTTAACTAATTAATGCTTAGTTGATCTCTACATGCAATTCTTATGAGTCTGTATCAAAACAAAGGTCACAGATTAAATACTGAAAATATGAAAAAGAACTATTTCACATGTGCATATTCAAGTGAGAGTGTGCTCTCACTCTGACTGCACCTCCACTAGCTTTCACTCATTTGTTAGCCATTTGTTAGCATTACTGGCTAAAGCATTTGTTCTCCAGTTCATCTTTGTTACCTTCTGGCTTGTCCTCATGTATTACATGATGGCTTTGAGGGATGGATCTCGGGACCTTTGTTTTGGTCCTCTGTCTTTTCTGCCTATAATATAGAACGTATTCAGAATAATATCGTTAATATTTATATAGCATGATAAACAAATTCAGTTCATGTCAATGCCCTGTAGACAAGGCAAACAAAGCCACAATTTCTTACTTTTTTTTTGTTGGTTTCCAGCATGCACACACAGTTACCAGTGTGATTAGGAGGAATATGCCCCCTGTGGAAAGGATGATGTAAAGGGAGCTTCTTCCTGGAAACACATTACAAGGATCTCAGCAAAGTCCCCAGTCAGATTCAAGCATCAACCAAAATAACATCAAATATTTGTTGCTTGGTGTTCCCTAAATCCACATTATATTATGAACGAATATTAATTATTTTTACTTCTATAGACCTCTGAAGTCATGCGTCATGGCTGTATTAGGAGCTCTGGGTCTGAGCTGGATTTCTTTATGAGAAAAATGAATGAGATTTTTGAAAATTCCCTATCACACCCTGTGGTAAACAAAAAGGTACCAAACCTGAAACATTTTGTCCTTCGTACATTTTTCCAGTGAATGCCGTTGGATCCTTTGAATCAAGAAACAAGATCGTTAAGGAGATGAAATGAAAAATGCTACATCCGTGCTAAACATCGCATGAAAGTAAGTCTTCTATTGAACTTGAACACTATTATATACTGACACCAGCCACTCCTAATGTGCTCTACTATTGCCAAAGCACAGGGCCTGATAGCAACAATTTTTAAAAATACCCATCATTTTTGCTGTTGAGAAATCCAGCTAAGACCTGGAGTTTTGAATATGTACATGGTGTTAACTACAGAATAACACACAAACTCAGTGGTCTATTGTATCTGTATGTCTGTTTAAATATGTGAAAGAGACTGTTTAGCTGTTTCACTTTCAAACACAATGTTTTCTAATTAGGTATGAAGTGACTAGTATGATTACCAGAGGAATATATCCAGGGTCTGTGGTCTTGGGGGTCCACGTGGCAGAAAGTCTATGATGTGACCTATATATTGATGCATACTATTTTATATTATAGTTAACCCTTGGAGTTTACACTACAGACTTCCTATTTGTATTTTTCCAATCGCATTTGTCCAAGAAAGGTTTGAACACCAGTGCCGACATCAGACATTTCCCAATACTACATTAAATTAAACCCAGAATGAGAAAAGCCATAGCAGATCACATGTTGCATGGAAATTACACCAAGCAAGAAAGTAAAGTCTTTTCGATAAACAGATAAATACGTGTGGTCTGTTATAGGCTAGTCTTTTTAGTAAACAATTCACTTTATCAGCAGGTAAGTTTGGTGTGTCCTGTAAAAAGTAAAACTAAGTTAAAATTCAATTTTTGGTTGTCGTGCAAACACACATGTAGGCTAGTGTGACATATATGTTGGCTCAGATGCTAACAGCATTTATTTTCTCTGCGTTTTCATGGCCGTTGCCGACGTAAAGTCGAAGGTATCTAAAGTTTCTCGGCTGATTAAGACTGTGCTCAAGCTTAAGCTTCTTCAGTTTCAAACTAGAGCATCCAGGCTAATTATACTACATTGTAGAGTTAAAGTACAAATTAAATTAATAATCAGACTGGGCAATTTTACAGTTTATTCAAGGGGAAGAATGTTGACCACAAGGCCTCTCATTAAGTCAAACCCTGAATAAATCACAGTGAAGAAAATCAAAACTGGATGAATCGCTGTTGTTGCTAATGACGGTCGACGTACTATACTATGAGTATCAGATTGGATTCTGTGAATATGAAGGTAACTAAAGGTTGTCTCTGAAGATTGACACCCTTGGGGTTGTGAAGAAAAATGGAAATGCATCTCAGGATACATTTATAGACTCCTTTGAATCAAATTGAGGGTTTAAGTGGCTTCCCTCAACGCTTTTGAGAACTGGAATGCATTTCAAGATGGCGGCAGGGACTTCCCTGTCAATGTAGGAGTGTCTTTCTTTTCTTGAATCAGAACACAGGGTAGTTTAACTTACGCAGTCTTCACTTACTATAAACTGTGAGTTTGAGTGGCAGGCTCCTGATACTGCTAATAGGGTTCTCCACCAGGCAGCTGTAGACATCATCATCCACCATCAGAACTCGCATAATGGTCAGGACCTTTTGGTCAGGAGAGAGCAGCAGGCGAGTGTCGTTTGTTAGTGGCTTGCCTCCTTTTGTCCAGCTGTAAGTGGTCTTGGTGCCCGCATCATGAGAGCAGTTCAGGGTGAAGTGCTCGGTCAGTTCCAGGACAGCAGAAGTGACTACGTCTATGTAGGGTCTGGATATTGGCTCTGAGAAAAAATGAAAGGGAGAGTTTTGTCAGGGTCCGTGAAGTTGTAACATATACTAAATGAAAACACAGAAAAAGAACTGCTGGTTTACTGTTAGCAGGTTAATACAGTACTATGCAAAAGCCTGAGACCCTTCATTTATTCAATTTACAGTCAAAATAGCCATCAGGTACAAGTTGTTTGTTTGAAAGTCAAAGGAAAAAACAGGAGTTTCCTGAAGTGGAGTTTCGAAAATGATTAAAAGATACAGAGAAATGGGACCCCTAACAACCACTTGCAAGACTTGGTGGACCACCAAAACTATTATCATCAGATAAACAGCACTTTAAGCTTTCGTCTTTGAGAGAGAGGAAAAAAGTCAAGTTCCATTCTTGATTCAGATCTACCAGATGTTTCCTGTCCATCCTTCTACTGTGAGAAGACAACTCAACACTATGAGTCTGAAAGGATGTGTAGCTGTCAAAAGGCCCTTATGGAAAAAAAGGAAATAGATGGAGGTGTGGAAAATATCCCTGCAAATTTCTTCAAAAAACTGAAAGCAACACTGCTGAAAAGAATGAAAACTGTAATAAAGCATCTTTTTTCTGTGACTCCTGTGTACTTATATGCAAATGAGCTCTGTTTTGATTGGCCCCTTATTATACCTCATTCATAAAGCAGCCTGGGCTGAAACACTTCTTACAGCATCAGCTCTATGGAAATACATTGATTTTTTATGGCATCACAAACACAATGAATTCAAGCCAACTTTTAAGACTGAAATTTGGAGGTGTGGAAAAATATCCCTGTAGATTTCTTTGAAAAACTGAAAGCAAGTCTCATAAAAAAGAATGGAAGCTGGAATAAAAGGCAAAATATCTACACACTAAAATGGAAAAATTGATACTGTATTTAATTGTTGAGGCTTCTGTATAATTTTCGGTTAAATATATATTTTCAGTTTTTTTCCTGATGCTGAAAGATAAATGCCATGTACTTAATGACTGTTTTTATTACAAATGAAATACATGAAGGATGGTCTCTGACTTGTGCATAGAACTATATCACCTTCAAAGAGTTCACAATTCACTATATGAAATACAAATAAGTCCAAGGACTTCACCCAAGATGCTATACTGCTAATTTTGCTCTAGTAGGGACTGGTTAGCATATGCAAATGAGATTGTGGTAACTGGTCCCTCAGCTTCCATTGATTGGTTAACAACTTCAGGGTTACTTGTGCAAGTAAGAGGATGCTGATCGGAGGCTTCTAAGTCTCAATCATCAATATCCATGTTAGGATCTTGGGGGGAACTATTACAATAACCAAGCCGTAGTGTTATATATGAGCAGATTTATCCTTTCTGACAAGACATAAAATCCTACCATCCACAGTGAGGTCAATGCTGCCTTCTCCTGTGAAGGTGTCATCAGTGATGGAGATCTCCACCTCATATGTTCCCTCATCGGAGAGCTTTAGGTTATGGAGCAGGAGCGTTCCATTCTCGAACACCAAGATGCGGTCTCGGTACTCTGGTCGCAGGTTACCGATGATCTCTGTGCCGATGGACTGAACCACAGTGACCGGTTTGTCTCTCTTCAGCTGCCATTTGATGACCGGCGGGTCCAGACTAGTGCTGGAGTATCGGACAGAGAGCAGGGCTTCCCCACCCACTGTTCCTCGGATCAGAGTCCCAAGAGTGGTGATGTTCACCCCTTTAACAAACCCTATGCACAAGATACGGTCAACTTTAGTGTGTTTTCATTTGCTAATTGTTTAAAATGTTATTTGCCCAATGCTTTACAGGTTCAAAGGATCAAGCCTGAGTGTTACGAACCTCATCAACAAAAGTGGTAAGGAGGCAAAGAACAGATCTGAAGGTGTTTCTACCATCGAACCTTTTTCATTTACCCGTCTCATATACCTCCCACACTGTGTGAAGACAGTACTTAACTTGTCTGTTTTAATAAGCATGCTGCTGACTCTGTCAAAGCCTCTCCTTGTCTACGCACAGGCTCAGCTGCAACCTTGGGCGCTGCCACACTTATTAAGCCACAACAACGCTCGTGAGTTTGAACTGCAAGAGGGGGTCGCAACATTACGTTCAACATGAACTACATGCACATTCTAGCACGCTACCGTGCAGAGAAATGGAAACAAAGGGGCTTCAAAACAAAGAGAACTGCCTGCTAACCATGTGGTACAAAAGCAAGTGTGGTTAAGAGTGGGAACCCTTGGAACGAGTCACTTTTCTTGAATTTGCCAAGCAAGTAATCTGTATGATACTAAAATTGAGGGTTATATTCATAAGTTTGAATGGAAAACAAGATAGAAATACAATAAAGCATGGGTCAATTGTCTGGGTGTTGTCCTAATTGCCCTCAGTCCAACACTCCTGGCCTGCTACACCATTGAAGCAGAACTGAACTGGGAAAATGAATGAGATAGGCTCTATGTATGCAGGTGGCGCTGTAGACCCCAGCGTTCCACGTTAAATGGTAACGTCTTAAAGAAGGTAAGCTTCGTATTCACTGCTTGCTGGGTTAGCTTTCACTTGGTTGTCAGCTTTCTCAGAGCGAATCGTAACAGCCTTGTGATTGTTGAGGGTACTGCTTATGCAAAAGGTACCCAAGATTAGTGTTTTGGCAAATACAGCCATTTAGTCAGCACTGGGAAGCTATTTATAGGACATACTTTGTACATGTATGTTATCTGTCCACATACAACATTATCTGACTGGCCTTCGGTTCTCTTTAAAAGGGGAACAGTCATGGTTGGTTATTATTTAATGTGGGAAGGTGCTGTGTCATGCCAGAGGTTTGGACACAATGTGGTCGTTATTGTCAAGGTCATTTCAGAGAACAAAAATGAGGAAAAACTGGACCAATTGCGTCACTAGACCTGTATCAAACAGAGAGAGGACTCAGCTCCCAAGAATCACCATGGCGGCATCAATTTTGGTCTATCCACTCCTGTACACGATTTCAACCCCATCAGACTCACATACAACAGAACCTATACACCTTCCACTCACTAGCTCAGCACCTTTACAGTCACAAACAACGTGCAATGGGATTCTGGGAGAAGTAGGAATACTACTTTCTAGGTTCTAGAACAAAAACAGTTCAACATCTCTAAAACTATGCCACAAATTGTAATAATATTTGTTCTGCATGTTTATTTAGAGTGCTGGAATGTGGATCAAGACAATGACAGCATGATCGGTCCCCTTTAATCATCAGAGGCTAATGAGGGCCCCTACACGGACAGTCCTTACACACTGCAAAATGGGGACAGCGACATAACCTGCACCACAAAACTATGTGCACAGTCCAACTTATGTGGAACACACTACAATTAAATGAAACGGAAGTTTCAAAACAAGGCAATTTGGCCGTTAACCACCTGGCAGCAATAGACACTAACCACCTGGCAGCAACAGCCTGTGCTGTCGAGACGAGGAAATCTTGGAACAAACCCCTTTTCCTGAATTTGCCAAGTATGTGAACTGTAAGGACTCAGAAGATAATGAGAAACTTTACGCTGGTAATCTCTAAACACTATAAATGCTTTAACAGGGTTGAGTGTGGTAGACAAGGTCAGAGACATTGCCTCCTTTTCCCGCTGAAAGAAGTTTTAGCGAGCCAGTGTGGAGGCTGCCCATTTCCCTGGCAACCACTCTTGGCGCGAGAGAGGACGATCTGGGATGAGGAGACAAAAGCTTGGATTGTTTGGCCTGGTTTCCTCCCTGGCCGCCCATGAAAAGCAGCCTCAGAGCGAGGCACAATCGGGGCGGCTGGAGGAACAGAAGCGCACAGGGGCTCCACTGATTCCACTAATGACAACACGGGACAACAATCCAACACAAACAGCTTCGGAAGCGGGCGCGGCACGGCATATAGCAGGGGTCCGACCATGGACTACAAACTGTCCCTGCTGTCTTAAGCAGGAATATGAAGTGCACTGTGAGAGCTGCTCTCTCTTCAGGCTTCTATGGCCTCGTCTCAGTGCTCTACTGTCCTCTGGTCGTGTCTTGTTTACACAAAGCAAGGGCAACTCTGACTCCCCTCCAATGGTTAATTACAAAGGGGTAATTGAATGTCCACAAAATGGGTTCTAGCTTCTTGTGACTACAACAGGAACAGTCATAAAACAAGAAAATAAAACTGTTTGGCAAATTACTTTTTGAATTTTTTTTGAAAAGCAAATTAATTTGAGCCCACTTTTATTCATCTTGTTTACAGTGAGTATCACATTTGCATAGTAACATTTAGATCTTTTTTGCTTTTTTTAATAGCAAATATGACAATATAAGTAGATGGGTTAATTTTCCACTGTCTTACAACTTGAAAGCCATGGAAATGGGCTTAAAATAATATTACACCACAAAAATATGATGCTATTCTATTCCTCAATTAACCAACAAAAAAGTATGAAAATTCTTATTTTTGAATTTTTATTTTAGTGACTTTTAGTCGTGTTGTGCATAGGTAAAAAAATGGCAAATCACAGCAGCAACAGATGCTGAAGTATTATTTTTATGTAAAACAACAATTTTAATGCTTGTTTTTCAGCTTAAATTGTAAAATTAAATTAAATTGTTAAAATTATTTAAAATATGTAAAGTCAGTGGTATTACACAAACTTCAAATGTCACAAAAAAGAATTACATCTTGTATGAATTTCTCAAAGAAACAAAAATGAATTCAGAGAAGTTAGTAAAATCTTATTTCATATTTCTTAAAAGTTTGGCTAAAATACTGACAGCTTCATGCATCACAGGAAGATTGTGTCAGTGGTAATACTGATAAATCATTAAGAGATTTTAAAACTGAACTCAAGTAAATGCAATATATGTATTGTTCTACATACAATGTGATACTGAAACTGAAGTGGCAGTGGATTATATTTCGGAAAAGCTCAGATTTTGAGCTTTTGACTGGTGTTACAGTCAGTGGTGTTATAACTTTACTGACATTGGTCAGTAGAATAGCCTACATTTTACACTTGAATTACAAATCAGCATTCAAACTCCATTCATTACCACAACAGTATAATGACACAGCTATTTCACTTCCTACCAGGCCATTCGTTCTGTAGCTAAATGGAAATACAGAAAGAAATTAGTTGACAGTATCACTTCACCATCTCTGTCAACCCTTTAAAAGGCCAGCGTTTTATTACACACTTCAAGAACAGCTTAATCAGCTTGCATTAATGTCCCTGTAGTTACTAAATAATAAGTCTTAGTATGTAATAAGCCTGGAATTTTAGGGAGATAAAGTCAAACTTTCTCTTTTAAATGTTACTTCACATTTTCCGTCAGTATCTTCACCAAAATAACGTGACAGACTGGGAGACGACTAAACTGGCTAAGACTTTGTGCAACTTCTGGCAAATCCTACTTCATAACTGCTCACTAAAATCTTTTGTTCTTGGCAGGAAGAAGGTGAGCTTTGTGCCTCTTACCTGATTGGAAAAGGAAGAGGAGGCAGCAGAGGTGCGGTAGAGCAGGAGAGGCTAGCGTCCTGGAGCGAGCCTTCCTCCCTGCCTTCATCTTGGGTCTAACGCTCGCACTTTCCCCCAAACAATTAGCATGATTTGTCCACTCTGAGCACGTCCCCCAAGCGAGAGCCCTGCCATTCCTCCCTAGGCTGGGCTATGCCAGGGCTTCACACGCCCACCCACCCATCCTCCCACATACCCTCATTGATGGAATGTGTGTCTCATTGTATGTGTGCTGTGTGATCTAACACACACACTATAAATCAATCGCATATCATGCGTGTGAATCACTGTACTGTATGTTTGTGTGCGTTTCTTTGTGCAAGGACGGGGAAGTTGACCAGTAGTACTGACCATGGTCCATCAGAGGACAGGGTAGTGTCAACAAATGGATTTGAAAACAAAACCTTGCCATCCAGTGGATGAAATTAGATGGAAAACTTTCTGCTGGGCAAATTGATTTAAAGTGTTTATATCATGATAAAACAAATTTTCCTCAAGTTTTGGGAAACAAGGTCTTGATGTAGTGTGTAAATACTTTTACAATGTAAGGATCCAAACAGTCCATATGTGGAAAGTGACCAAAACAGCTCATTGTTTTTGTGATGTCACAAAAACCCACCATATTTACATATATCCACCTATTCAGGTACAGCAGTTTTGTCTAAGAAAGCCACTTCCAGCCAGGTAGAGGAGAAAAAATGGCCACTTTTGGACACTCTGCACATTGTTATGCTTTTAAGCTCTTAAATATCTACTTCGACTCAGAAAGGGCTGCTAATTAGCTGCTTAGTTGGATCAGGTGTGTTGGGAGCAGAGAAACTGTGCATGAAACTGTGCAGGGCAGGGGCACTGCAGGTATCTTGAAATAATGACTTACCTTCTTGAAATTTTGACTTAATAACTCTAAATAATGCCTATTTTTTAAAAATATTGACTTAGTAACTCCAAATAATGACTTATTTTCTTGAAATTTTGACTTAGTATCTCAAAGTAATGACTTAGTAACTCTACATAATTACTTTTTCTGAAATATTGATTTGTGTCTTGAAATAATATATTAATAATAAATTGATATAATGAGAATTTCAAAGAAGTAAATCTTTTTTTTCAGGATAATTAGTCATTATTACTTAATTATTAAGTAACTAAGCCATTATTTTACACAGTAGGTCATCATTTCAACATAGTAAGACAATATTTTGAGATACTAAGTCAAAATTTTGACATACTGTAAGAAACGGAGGAGAAAATGAGTGTTTTTTCTCCTCTAGATGGTGGGAATGAGCTTTCATATTAGCCATTTTCACAGTTTTGAAATGAAAGCATTTAATGTAGCAAGTAAACATAGCGTTATGTTGATTTTCTAAGCGAAAATAAGTTAACACATCCTCTACAGAGAACACACTGCACATTTTAATGCATAATTAGCGTTTATTTACTGGATTTAACATATTGGACCAAACAAAACAGAAGCCTTTTTCCCCCAGTATGTAAAATTCAGCAAATAAACAGTTAATTGTGCATTAAAATGTGCAGAAGTGTGTTCTCTGTAGAGGATGTGTGACTTCTTTTTACTTAGAAAATTAAAAAAACATGTCATTTGATCAGGGGTGCCTAAACTTCTGCATATGACTGTACCATTCACCTCTTTGCCCAAACGACTGCAAACTAAGCTGCAAAAACAAAGTTTTTGAATGTATTGTTGTTTAGTTCATTCAAGTTGAAGGTATAAAGAGTGTTTCAGTCTGCTTTTTGAATGAAGCTCAAAACAGGACAGCCAATCAGAACAGCTTGTATTTACATACATCAGTCTTAAAGGCACAGTAAAACAGCCTGTTTAATTCTAAGGAATAAAGAGAGGTCATGTAGAAACGAATGGCCAGGTAGATTTGAATTATAACTGCTTCCAGTATGTAAACCCGTACAAAAGTCAAAAGTGGGAGAAAAAAATCTTATAAGAAAAATGTAGGACATGGGTTTTTACAAAATAAAGGAAAACACAAGCATACACTGTAACACAGCACAGTAATATAGGCACAACAGAGTGAAACAGATACTTTGGTTCAGTCTAAAGAGGCTTAATAGCATGACATGAATTCCAAGGATACCACCAGCAGAAGTGCCTCCTTTCAGCTTCCATCCAGCTCTTCTCCAGCCCACGCATCCTATGTAAACAGTCCAATTCAACAGACAATGCAGAGAACGCCCATTGGGCAGCACTTGAACCGCGGTTACTGTTGAGGACGCTTGCCGCTGTTTCAGGAACCACCCGCTAGGCCATCATTCACAGCTTCAGCGGGAGGGGGAGATAAGCCAGGCCAAAGAGGGGCCTGGGAAGATGATGTGTTTTAGTTCTGATCCGGAATCATCCTTCCTACCACCAAACCAATCTGAGATGGATGGCAAAACTGGTCTGAAAACAGCTTTTTATGACAACTTCTACCCTCGTTGGTTGTTGTGACAAGGCCTGAATGGGCTAATAGAATTTATTACCGGCAGAACTCATTTGGAACGAAAGCCCAGTCATGCAAAAGAGGACGAAAGGGCCTGAACCTCCAAAAGAATCCAAACAACTCTCAAGTTGGTTTAGAATTATTCACAAGAAAAAGCCAGATGGAGACTAAAAAGAGTTTGCTTTTGAGTTCCTTTGGGCCTGAGTTACCCTCGTTCAACCTCTTACCGGGTCCATATCATAGAAAATTGACCTTTTTTTCTAAAAAAAAAAAAGTTTGATGTTGTATCTAAACAGTTAAAGTTTCAAAATGTATTAAAATGAATTCATTTGTGATGTTTGTGATGCCATAAAAAATCAGTGTATTTCCACAGAGCTGCCTACTCGTCCTAAAGCTCCGTCCAGTCATGCTGATGCTATAAGGAGTGTTTTAGCCCAGCCTGCTTTTTGCATGAGGCATAATACAGGGCGGCCAATCAAAACAGAGCTCATTTGCATACAGTGCTGTCAGGTCACAGAAAAAAGATACCTTTATTATAGGTTTTTCAGGAGACTTGCTGTCAGTTTTTTAAGAAATCTGCAGGGATATTTTTTCACGCCTCCAAAGTTCAGTCTGGTTCGAAGCTGGTTGTATTTTCTGCTTCTCATGATCCAAAGAATCATAACACATTCAGTGATGTTGAGGTCTGGGTGGTCAGCCCATTGTTCTAAGAATACCAGCTGCTTTTTAGTGGAAGGATGGACAGAAACTTGTGGATTTTTTCAGATCTGAAACAAGAGTGGAGTTTGATTTTCTCCTCTCTCTCAAAGATTAAAGCTTTAAGTCTAATGGGGACAGTTTTGGTGGTCAACCAGGTCTTGCATCTTTTAATAACATTTTGAACTCCAGTTCTGGACACTTTTTTCCCTTCGACTTTTCTTCTCTTATGCAAGTAAATTATCTTTTATCTGGTCTTCTCAGAAATAAGAGTAACTTGTACTTAATGGCCATTTTGAGGAAGAGTAAATAAATAAAGGGTGATCTCTGTTTTTTTTATATATATCTGTCTTAAAGGCACAATAACAAAAACAGTTTGTTCAGTTCTAAGTGATTATGAGAGCTTGGAAAATGATCATATAAAAAGGAATTATGGCTGTTTCGGTAATCTCAAATGTAATAAATATCACAAATACATCACATGGGCCCTTTAAGACGTTTTGTAATCAAACACACTTTACTCAAACAGGCCTAAAGAGTGGTCTGAATCAACCCTTCCACCTCACGCAGTATTTCATGTTCTTCAAACAGCTCCTCTATTTTTGCACACAGGGAGAGAGAAAGAGCAGCTGAGAGTGCGCTGTGTTTGTGGCAGAACTCTTGGGAGAGAACTGTCCCTTTAACTTCTGTCATCCGTCCACTGAAGCTGTCAGCTGAACACAGACATGGCCTCCAGGGAATAACTGAGAATGCCACTTTTGTGGGCTTCATCTATTTATTGATGCAGTTATAAGGAAAAAAGGCCAGTGCCTGTCTGTGATGAGTTCCACTGTAGCTTGTTGTGAGTTGAAGATAGAAGCCCTGCATGTTTAATGTTGTTATTTTGCGTGATACTGTGATCTTAAAGGAGATATGTGTACTACACTGCCCCCTTCTGGGCTTAGCTGTGGTCAAATGGCCTCTCAAGTGGATGTGAGTTGTTTGATAGGCATAAAAACTGTCATGGTCAAGGTCAGACACTAGAGACCAAAAAACACAGGCAATGATAAGCTTTAACCACAAACCACAAAGCTTGTTGCCTTGTAAAGGCCAATGGAGCTGGAAAACAGTTGAATTCTTCTTCTTCTTCCATGTCGTCATAGCAGTCCGTGTAACTACTGGCTCAAATTCTATGAAATTCGGCCTGCTGATGGAAATGCTTAGTATAGTCCGCATATACAGACACTTTATTGTTTTTTGTTATTCCTCTAGCCCCACCACCAGGTCAAAGAACTCCAAGTAAACTAAGAACAAACTCTTATGTGTACTGTTCAATGTGCATGCTCATGAGCAGAGATAGTGAGGGGAAACAAGTATTGAGACACTTATGTTTTTGTTATTTAACCCCTTAAACGGCCCCGGAAGTAGGCCCAAAGTTTTATTTCACACTTCTATAACATAAGAATACGTCAACCAGTTTGCACTGAAGGCCCTGTAGTTACTGAAAAATAAGACTTAGTATCTAATAAGTCTGGGATTTTAAGGAGTTCATATACTTCCACTTCATATATCCACTTCAAATCTACACACATAATGTCTTTTGACATCGTCTCCAAACTCATACTGAAAGCTATGTTTAAAAACAAAATTAGTGGAGGAAAAACATGAAATTCAGATTAATAACTTTAGTACTTTGGCATTGGCACAAAGGCATTGTTGGCAATTACAGCTTTTATGTCAGCTTTTTTACATCTATGGTCAGAGCTAATGACCTTTTAACAGTATTGTGGTTTAAATTTGGTGCACAAGATTACAAGGGTCCCTCTGTTGGACTCTATTTCTTAAAAAAAACATCCATAACTTTTCACTGGGATTCAAATAAGGAGATTGGCTAGACCATGGAAGCACCTTCAGTTATCTTGTATGTTTGGAGTCAATGTCTTTGTTGAAGTGTACATATTCTACCCTT